GTATATATCGCTTGCAATAGTTGGAAGAAAAGAGGTTTTTATGAAAAATATATAATATATATGTGTGTATGTATCAACTTGCAATAGTTGGAAGAAAAAGAAAAGTGGGGGTTTTACGAAAAAAATATAATTTAACGTGTGCGTGTGTATGTATATATATATCACTTGCAATAGTTGGAAGAAGAAAAGGGTTTTTACGAAAAAATATATAATTTAATATGTGTGTGTGTGTGTGTATCTCTTACAATAACTGGAAGAAAAAGAAAAGGGTTTTTATGAAAAAATATATAATTTAATATGTGTGTGTGTATGTATCACTTGCAGTAGTTGGAAGAAAAAGAAAAGGGTTTTAAGGAAAAATATATAATTTAATATATATGTGTGTGTGTGTACATATACATATATATATCTATGTATGTATATACACATATATATGTCGCTTGCAGTAGTTGGAAGAAAAGAGGTTTTTACGAAAAATATATTTAATATGTGTGTGTGTGTGTATCGCTTGCAATAGTTGGAAGAAAAAGAAAAGTGGGTTTTTTATGAAAAAATATTTTATATATATATGTGTGTGTGTGTGTGTATAATTTCTTAAAAAATAAATTTGTCGTCCTACATTAGCTTGGGGTGGAGAGAAGGAGGTTCAGCCACAACTGGTTCAGGATCTTTTTTTTTCCCTCCCAGTCTCTAAAAGGGACATAAATCTATTTTTTTAGTAAGTATTGAAATATGCTACTTTTACATGGTGCGAACAGGACTGGGTCGACATTTTATATATTTATTTTATGATTAAATGTCTGTGCCTCCCATGTCCTCTGCAAGGTTATATACATAGCTGGCTGTCTTTACTGGGCTTTAATTTCCATCTCAGTATAATGTAACGGAGAGATTAGTTTATAAAGAAAAGGGAGTATTTTGTTCTGCTGACGAGTGACTTAAAACGGGGATAACAATAGTAAATTACATGGATTTTTTGGGGTGGTAATTCCTTAAATGCTGCATTCCTTCCCATCAATGTTTTGTGATCCTTTTTTTTTTTTTTAGTACCTATTAAAGATTTGAGGCTCCTGGATGTGAAACTGGGCCAGCTGCCTACCTGGTTGGCATCGCTCAATTATACCCCCAGAGCTTTTCTGGAATCGTGCAAGAGAGGTTAGTACTTGGGGGGAAAATCTTACATTGTGGGGGGGAGGGTAAGCAATATTCCTTAGGAATTTACAAGATGCATATTGGAATTTCCACAAAAGCAGCATTTCAGAATCGTATTATTTAACATTTGCATCGGTAATGCTGTGGCTAGAATATCTGTGCCTAGTCGAGACTTGTCAATAAAACGATAACGGAAAGCCTGGCTCGGTGGCTAAGACGCTGAGTTTGCCGATCAGGAAGGTCGGCAGTTCAAATCCCTAGTATAGGTCTCCTGCGTAAGCAGGGGGTTGGACTAGATGACCTCCAAGGCCCCTTCCAACTCTTTGTTACTGTTTTAAGATGGGAATTGTCTGCAGATATGGATCCAAATAATGGACTCGCTATTAAAAATTTCAGTTTGAATTCTGCGGCCTAAGGGTTGAGCTGCCGGACTGCTTCATCTTGTGGGGGGGGGCTGTCGTAACTCTGAATTTGAGCTTCTCTTCTATGCTCTTCTAAATTGGTATTTTAATGTGGCCTGTACGTTTGATCAGTTATTGCTGGTTGAATGGTTGAGAAAGATTTAAGTCATAAAACTTTATGGTTATTGGTTAAAAAAAAAGTTGTCGAGTTACAGCCCCAGAAACCTGGCAAAAAATGTCCATGACAGGTAGTTCTCGACTTACAATTGAGCCCAAAATTTCTCTTAGTGAGATGTTTGAGTTTTGCCCCATTTTATGACCTTTCTTGCCACTGTTACCAAGTGAATCGCTGCCGTTGTTAAGTGGCAAGTGAACCTGGCTTCTCCATTGGCTTTGCTTGACCAGAAGGTCGCAAAAGAAAATCACATGACCTCGGGACCATGCAACCGTCATAAATATGAATCGGCTGCCAAGCGCCTGAATTTTGATCACATGGCCAGAGACGTTACAATGGTCATGTGAAAAACCAGGTCATAAGTCACTCTTTCAGTGCCATTGTAAGTCAAGGACTACCTGTATTTTCGTTTCCGCTAGATGTGAATCCCCCCCCCCCGTTTTTATTATGAATGACTTCTGCCCACTACTTCGACTTCTAAGGTGGGTTTCCACTTTGATTAGGCCACAACAGGTTCTACGCAAAATACTGGGAACCGAAGAAATGTGGCATCAGCGGTCCTGCCATGTTGTTATCCGCTTATGTGGTTTTCAGCTACTTCGTAGTGTATGATCGCCTCAGTAAGTAAAATGTTGGTTTTTTTTAAATAAAAAAAATTACACTATGTTCGCACAATGTGCCAAGATTCTGTAATGAGTCGATGTTTTGGGCTGGGTTCAAGGCCTTCCCTGCCACATCTGGATATAGCAGAACCAACTTACCATGTATAAAAAAAAAAAAAAAAAAACGGATTTGAAACCATGTGACAAACTGCTTGAGATAAAACAGCCAAGCACGCAGCCCTCCTCCTCATTTCTCCTACACTGAATTATGGTTTTATGGTTGAATAGATGCGAGGTGCTGTGGCAGCCTAAGGCACGATTCCTGTTGAGCATTACATGAGTTTGTGAGGTTGGTAGGCATTGATCTCGGAGAGTTTATTTAGTTCTGTCCACTGCAGTTAATTGGCCAAATTCAAGTTTCTAGGACAGTGATGGTTAATCTTTTTGGTGCCAAGTGCCCAAAGCGCATATGGGCACGAATGCACATGGCCGAACCCACAAAATGCAGTGCGAGCACCCCCTGCGCTTGTACCCTGCACACGCGCCCCGGCCCCCCCCACGACCCGTTTTGGGCCTGGAAAGCCTCCTGTACCAACTTAGAAGCCAAAACAGAGCACAGGGGTGCCATGCGAGGGTCCCCCGTGCCCCGTTTCCAGCTGGCCAGCAGGAGGTGGATGCGCAGTGGAGCTGGGCTGGGGCGACGGCTAGCGTGACCGCAGAGGGCTCTGCGTGCCACAGGTTCACCATCACGGTTCTAGGACTTCTACACGCTACTTCACCTGACTTTCAGACCAGTCTTGGAATCTAATAGAAGAGGTGGCAAGTAAGGCTTTCTTTCAGATTGTATATGTAGTCCTCAATTTACGACCACAACCGAGCCCAAAATTTCTGTTCCTAATTGAGACATTTGTTACATGAGTTTTGCCCCATTTTACGACCCTTCTCGCCACCGTTAAATGGATCACTGCCGTTGTTAGATTAGCAACACAATTGTTAAGTGTATCTGGCTTTCCCCCCTTGACTTGGCTTGTCAGGAGGTCGGAAAAGTGGGATCGCATAACCCTGCAACCGTCATAAATATGAGTCAGTTGACAAGCACCTGAAGTTTGACTGTGTGACCACAGGGGGACGCTGCAATGATCGTAAGTGTGAAAAATAAGTCACCTTTTTCCAGTGCCATTGTAACTGTGAACGGTCAATAAATAATCCGTTGTAAGCAGAGGACTACCTGTAGCTACAAAGGACCTGCTGGGTAAAATCTATTTTCCCAGAAAACTGGTAACTGCAAGCAAGAACAGGAATTGGTGATAAAAGCTTGCCCTCTTCCATCTTTTTTCCCCCCAATCCCTCAGTGGAATACCAGGAATATTCAGCGTTCAGTTATCTTATTCATAAATTTTGTTGGCCATATGTACAAATGTTTTGAATAAAAGCTAGTTTCTGTTTGACAATTTTAAAGGAAACTGCAGTCTAACCAAAACTGGTTCTGATTATTTAGAGGAAGAACGCTTGAGAAAATACCACTAAGACTCCACCGACAAGAATACAAATTTCTCTTGCTGTGACCAGCCAACTACAGGCAACTGGCTTCTGTGTTCCTCTTACGAAGGATCAAATGTATGCTGAGACCAATAATAAAATAATTCAATCTGTGTCTGGTAGAACTTATTTCAAATGCTAGAAGACAAATTAGTGAGGATACAAAAGACCTTAATTTAAAATTATAAAGAGTATGGGAAGATACTAATACTAGCGTCACCAAGATCTGAAATGTTAATCACAATCTCTAATCAGTGGTAAAATCCAAATTTTTTTACTACCGGTTCTGTGGGCATGGCTTGAGGGGCATGGCAGGGGAAGGATACTGCAAAATCTCCATTTCCTCCCCACTCCTGGGGGAAGGATATTGCAAATTTTCCATTCCCACCCCACTCTGGGGCCAGCCAAAGGTATTTGCCAATTCTCCGAACTACTCAAAATTTCAGCTACTGGTTCTCTGAACTGCTCAAAATTTCCACTACCGGTTCTCCAGAACCTGCTGGATTTCACCCCTGCTCTCTCTATTTTTTGAAATGGCAGTTTTTTTACTCTGAGTCTGGAATGCCAAGAAAACACCAATTCAGATTCTCAGAATAATTCAGTTTTGTGACTGGAATTAGTCTTCCAGACCAAATTAATGACATGACAAAATATTCTGCAGTGGGGATCTTTTAAAGAATGATCTTTATCCTTTTTTTATAGAGAACTGCAGCCTACTTCTAAAACAGGGTTTGTTTTTCTTGTTTTCTTTAAGCTTCCAATTGATTTAAGAATTTTAGATGTTGGAATTTTATGTTCCTAGGGAACTTTTGATCATTTTTAGTAGGCTCTGCAAATGAAAATTGCATTGTGATGGCACATAGTTTGGATCACTTTCAGAATGAAGGAAAGATTTTTCCCATAAACCTAACACCGCTTTTCATAATTGGGAGTTTTCTGCCTGCATTTGTTCAGCCACTAAACATGACAATTTAAAAAAAAATATTTTTTTTCCCTTAAAAGTACAAACTATAGATGTAGACAAATACAAACTGGACCCACTCTTCCTGATGAACAAGATGAATTTCATCTTGAATCAGCCATCGGCCCAGCCTAGACAAGGAACACAAAGATGCAGAACAAAGCAAGAGCTGGGCAGTCACTCACGTATTTATCATCTTCTGCCAAGGACTGTTGAAAGAACAGGCTAAACATTTTCGAAGGAGAAGCTCCACCCTTTTGAACCAAAAATATCCCTATCCCAAATGTTTTTCTTTTAGAAGGCTCGTGTAATTACGTTTGCTTCTTCAGGCTGTGAACAAGGAGGCACTACGTTGTAGCCTTAAGAATTAAAAACAAATGCCAAAACAAAAAGAGCAGTTGCAGATCAAGTAATCCTTTCACTGGCCAATCCTTTGGTGCAGGTATAAAAAAAAGGTGGGTTTCAGTCATTCAAGATGATACTCGAGAGAATTCGGCTCGTAAAGATATATATATAAAAATGCTGTGAAGTCCGTTGGTTCATTGCCCACTAAGGAAAGCCAAATGTCCTTTGGTGCATCTGTTGGCGTAATGTCCTTTTTCACCACACTAAGAAGAAGACGACGAGAAAAACATTGTTGCTCAAAGTACATATAAAACTGAAGAGATTTTAATGAATCCTTTAATCCAGGGGTGGGGAATTGTGGCTCTTTTACAACCTGTGGACTTCAACTCCCAGAATTCCTGCCCGAGACAGCTTGGCTGTCTCAGGAATTCTGGGAGTTGAAGTCCACAGGTTGTAAAAGAGCCACAATTCCCCACCCCTGCTTTAATCTGAATATTCACAATTGGAAAAACCTTTGCTTTTTTTTCTTCTTCTTTCTGAATAGGCCATTCTGAAAATCCAGAGTTAGAAACATCAACACCTGCCTTTCTCAAAATAATAGTGAAAATGGACTGCTGCTGTTTGCATTTGGACAGACAGCACACATATATATGTGGGCATGGAAACTTCACATCCATGTGGCTAAATTTGGCACTGCCATAACTACTAGCGAGAAAGCTATGGCATACCACACGGTTCCACCACAATGCATTGATGTTTTCAAGCTCACATTTCCCAGCCCATTCTATTATTAGCCTTCATTCCCCATTATTTATATTCCGATACAATCCTACAGACTTCTTAAAAACATTCACGTAGGGGAAAAAAATCTTACCATACTTTTCTCGCTTTTCACAAAGCAGACGAGTGTATCATTTTTCAAATTCCACATTCCAGAATCAGAGGGGAATATCCCCATGTTCAAAGAGTGAAAATACACATGATTATCGTGTCTGCTCCGGAATTCAGGGCTGGCAAGTGGAACTGCACAAATCGGCCTCGCCCCTCACCCCTGCACAGTTCATTCCCCTCATAAAACACAGCCTTAGGCAGCTTAAAGGTAAAGGTTCCCCTTGCACATATGTGCTAGTCGTTCCCAACTCTAGGGGGCGGTGCTCATTTCCATTTCAAAGCCGAAGAGCCAGCGCTGACCGAAGACGTCTCCGTGGTCATGTGGCTGGCATGACTCAACGCCAAAGGCGCACAGAACGCTCTTCCCTTCCCACCAAAGGTGGTCCCGATTTTTCTACTTGCATTTTTAACGTGCTTTCGAACTGCTAGGTTGGCAGAAGCTGGGACAAGTCACGGGAGCTCACCCCATTACGTGGCACTCGGGATTCGAACCGCTGAACTGCCGACCTTTCGATCGACAAGCTCAGCGTCTTAGCCACTGAGCCATGGTGTGAATTTACTGTTAATAGTAAGGCAATTTATTAGCCAAGGAGGAAGCCATCAGAAGGTGGGGGAAAAAATTGGAGGAGGAGACAGTACAGTAGCTCAAATTTGGGAAAAGGTTGGTTTGTTTGTTTTTTGGACAATTTAATCAAAGGCAAAAGCCCTAAAAAGCCACCACATCCCTTACCTTACAACCATATATATATAGCTTAGCTTACCTTATAACAGGTGACTTGTTCCAGGGGGCGTGGGCCTCTGTTCCCTATGCTGTTGTTCTGGGACTGCATGACCCCAATGACCTGTGGGGTCCTCTGTTGATTGGGGGAAGACTTCTGACTTGTCAGCTGGATAAGAGAGGAGGACCTCTGCAATGGCGTGTTGTTGTTTGGCTGAAAAGGGAAAGCAGCCAGCACAATATGTATTACGCACCTTAGTAGCAGTTTTCTCTATTCTGACAAGAATCGCAAGTGTTGCCCCAGACTTTGGCCTAGGGCGCCAAAAGCAATCCACACCTCCCTTAAAAGTACTTTATAAGCTTACAGTGCAAGGAAAACATTGTGAATCCTTTCAACCTCCCCCTTGGTCTCTTCCCTTAAGAGGTGAATAATAATAATATCTTCCTGTACAGTGTTAGAATCCTGGGGGAATTTGATTGCAGTATTATCTGTGGTTTTGGCCTATGCTTGCAGTGCCCTGAATTAAAAGCACACGATAAAATTCCTCCTCCTCCTCCTCTCTGAATGTCAGTGGTCCATTCCCCTCCCCCTCTGCAATTCAAGCGCCACTATAACAGGAGAAGCAGCTCTAGCATCAACAAATGCACACAACTGAACGATTCAAAACAGACCCACTTCTCTTTTAAGTTAAATTCAAAGGAGATGAATCTACCGAAGCAGCTGAAAAAGCAGGCATGGCTTACTTTTTGTTGTGGCTGTGTTGGGGGCGGCAGTGGCGGCTGCTCTGTCGTTCCCATAGGAAGTTCAAACCGAGGACTGTTTTTCAAAAGAAAAAAAGACATATGCGTATGGAAAGATAGGGAGACCAAACTGATAGAGAAATCCATTATTAGAATCTAATTCTCCCAGGAATACTTTTACGCTTAGCTTCAGAAATAAAACCCTCTTGAAAACGTGGCTTTCACTGCTTCATAGGTACAGAAACTCTAGTAATTAGTTAAGCCGGGGTCAGCAACCTGCAGCTCTTTGGGCTCTCTGCAGTGGCTCCCTGTTGGATGATCCCACCACTGGCTGGCCCCGCTCCTCGCCCTCCCCTCCCAGTCACTCCTCGCCTGGCCTGAGAAGGTAAGGGCGACAGCGGGGGATGGAGAAGCGGCCGGGACAGAGACAGAGAGATACAGAGAGAGGGTGAGAGAGACAGAGAGGGAGGGGGGGGAGAGGGAGAGATGTCAAAAGGATTTTGTGGCTCCTGGTGTTTTTTAACAACTGGTTCTCTGCCCTAATGACCGGCTGGGTAGGCATGGCTGGGGGGGGTGTCATGTGACTGGTGGAAGTGAGTGACATCGAGTTGGCCACGCCCACCCAGGTTTTGTGGCTCCCGATGTTTCCTTTTCTGTGGGAAACGGGTCAAAATGGCTCTTTGAGTGCTTAAGGTTGCAGACCCCTGAGCTAAGCGTTAAAGAGGGTGAATGAGGGACAGCATGAATCTTGAGCTTGACATTTCGGGAAGAATTTGAAAAGGACACACACTTAAGTGGTTTAATACCAGGTGGAGAATTTTAGGGCAGATCTGGGAAATACTCACTGCATGAATTTGCACGCAGGGCCTTCTGGACAGAAGCCTACCAAGTAATTCACACAAATAACACGCCTTGTGTGTCTGTGTCTGCAGAGAGGACCTACAACATAAAATGCAAGGCAAACTGAGTTTTCAAAACAGCAAGAATGGCCCAAATTCAGACAATTCTCTCTTAACTACAAGTAAGTTTTTCTTCAAAAGGGAAGATAACTTTTCAAGGAGCCAAATGTCAATCCAGAGGCTTTTGCAAGCTTGGCCCCGTTGCTCGAGAAGTCTGTATCCAAGGCAGCACAGCTATCAACAGTCACAAGTTGAATACCTACCGTGTTTACAGAAACCTCGGTCGTACCAAGGGCAGTCTTTGATTTTAGATTCTGGGTCGATGTGCAAGAATGGACACTCCTTGTTGCTGCATTCCCCTGCAACAGACAAGTCCCAGCTTCAGCCCACCAAGCCATCAATGCAATTTCAAGAACAGTTACAAAGTGTTAAGAAAGTCAGGTGTTTCCTTATGACCATCACCTACACCTTTCATCATCAGCCTTTTGAAATATAATGAATAGAATAGAATAGAATAGAATAGAATAGAATAGAATAGAATAGAATAGAATAGAATAGCAGAGTTGGAAGGGACCTTGGAGGTCTTCTAGTCCAACCCCCTGCTTAGGCAGGAAACCCTACACCACTTCAGACAAATGGTTATCCAACATCTTCTTAAAAACTTCCAGTGTTGGAGCATTCACAACTTCTGGAGGCAGGTTGTTCCACTTATTAATTGTTCTAACTGTCAGGAAATTTCTCCTTAGTTCTAAATTGCTTCTCTCCTTGATTAGTTTCCACCCATTGCTTCTTGTCCTGCCCTCAGGTGCTTTGGAGAATAGCTTGACTCCCTCTTCTTTGGGGCAGCCCCTGAGATATTGGAACACTGCTGTCATGTCCTTCTTTTTAGTCCTTCTTTTCATTAAACTAGCCATACCCAGTTCCTGCAACCGTTCTTCCTATGTTTTAGCCTCCAGTCCCCTAATCATCTTTGTTGCTGTTCTCTGCACTCTTTCTAGAGTCTCATCTTTTTTACATCGTGGCGACCAAAACTGAATGCAATATTCCAAGTGTGGCCTTACCAAGGCTTTATAAAGTGGTATTAACACTTCACGTGATCTTGATTCTATCCCTCTTTAATGTGCTAAACTTGCACATATACACATTCCAGAGCAGGAGTGTAAAGAAACTGGTAATTTAAACATTAAGAATCGTATCAAAAAGTGAAAGGAAGCACGCTATCAGTGCACGACTGACTGCACACCAATCATTTGCTTTATTACTATTCAAAATACCTAATCAAAATGTCACCAAGGGATAGCATAGAGTAATAGCCAACAGACCAACTTAGAAACCAATGCATGTCTGGTCAAACTCTCATTTCTTCCATCAACAGCTCAAGTCACTGAAACTTGAGATTGTAAAACTCACTGTTGTAAAGTTTTCCAGAACAATGGATGAAATGGATTCCACTGTGGTACACTACAGAACACACACTGCAAAGGTCAAGATTAAATAGCAGCCATTCATTATTACATTTGCCCTTACCGTATTTTGAATAGAAGTAACATTCTGGCATCTTGGTCATGTCATACTCGTGCAAGAATTCACACTGGTCCCCTTTTTTGCACAGGCCTCGTAACCAGTGTTTACAAACCACTGTCTTTTCACCACTGATGTGCCGGAATGGACACATCCCCCCTGCCGGGAAAAATAAAAATATATAAAATATTGCAAGGAATGCTTCTATGCTATAATGCTGCTTTAATTTGCAGACTTAATAGACAAAGGATACAAGGGAATAGCTAATCTGCATATTTTAAAATCTTATAAGGTATTTATTCAGTAAATCCAGCCTCTCTACAATAGTGCCTTCTAGGCCAATATAATGACCAAGAGTTACCATGTTTTAAGACTTCTGCTATGACATCTTGGCATATGATTTTTATTCTGACAGCTCAATGTATAAACCAAGATTTTAAAAATTAGGCTCTGAATGTAGGCAAAGAAAAGGATTTTTCATGGTCAATTTCTCCTCCCTCCTCATAAAATATGATTAATTTCCATAACTTGAAACCTGGCTATATATAAGCATATTATTATGTCAATTTATGTGATAGACAGTCCCCTTATACACAACTTGGGAACGAGTCTGTTTTTATCTACAAGCGCTATGTAGATACTGATTGTAGACAGAATAAAAGCCAATTCATGATTCATAACGAAGAAGTGAGCGTAGAACAAATAATTGTTTCATTCTTCCCCTCTGTCCCAAAGGTGTTTTTTCAAGAGGCAACTGGACTTTCTGTTTTTTCTTTGAAGGCGTTTTGATTCCACTCAAGAAGCTTCTTCAGCTCTGACTTGGATGGAGGGAAATGGAAGGATTTATACTATATATATATACATACATACATACACACACATTGCATTACATTACTATACTATACTATATATTATATTATATATTATATTATTACATTACAATACTATATTATTATATTATATTTACTATACTTATATAATTATATATATTATACTATATATATATTATATATTACATTATATTAGCATAAGCGCACCAACGTGCCTATGGTCCCCATTGATTCATATCCATTTCCTGTCTTGACCATCGTGTTTCTACTTATATGTTATCTTATACGTGCCTTACAAAATAAATAATAAAATAAATATATCTCCAATATATCTGCAGGCACAGCTTACCTTTCCCACACGCTGCCTTTAAAAAAAAATCACAGACGGCAGCACCGGACTCTGTGAAGAAAAGAAGCACAAGGTCGGTCTCAATATTGCTGAATAGCTGAATAGAATAGAATAGAATAAATAATAGAATAGAATAGAATAGAATAGAATAGAATAGAATAGAATAGAATAGAATAGAATAATAGAATAGAATAGAATAGAATAGAATAGAATAGAATAGAATTCTTTATTGGTGAAGTGTGATTGGACACACAAGGAATTTGTCTTTGGTGCCTATGCTCTCGGTGTACATAAAAAGACAAGATACATTTGTCAAGAATCATAAGGTACAACACTTAATGATAGTCATAGGGTAGAGAGGGGAGGGGAGGGGAGGATTCTTTATTGGCCAAGTGTGATTGGACACACAAGGAATTTGTCTTTGGTCCATATGCTCTCGGTGTACATAAAAGAAAAGATACATTCTTCAAGAATCATAAGGTACAACACTTAATGATAGTCATAGAGTACAAATAAGAATAGAGAGGAGAGAAGAGAAGGAGGTAATGATAGGTTGGGTTGGGTTGGGTTGGGTAGGGTAGGGTAGGGTAGGGTAGGGTAGAATAGAATAGAATAGAATAGGAATAGGAAGAATAGGAATAGGAATAGGAATAGGAATAGGAATAGAATAGAATAGAATAGAATAGAATAGAATTCTTTATTGGCCAAGTGTGATTGGACACACAAGGAATTTGTCTCTGGGGCATACGCTCTCAGTGTACATAAAAAGAAAAGATACATTCGTCAAGAATCACAAGGTACAACACTTAATGACGGTCATAGGGTACAAATAAGCAATCAGGAAACAATATCAATATAAATCATAAGGATACACCAACAAGTTACAGTCATACAGCCATAAGTGGGAGGAGATGGGTGGTGGGAACGATGAGAAGGTTAATAGTAGTGCAGACTTAGTGAATAGTCTGACAGCGTTGAGGGAATGAGTTGTTTAAATACAGTTTAATGAGGGTTTTGATGATGAGGGCTGGGGGGGAGGGGAGGGGGGAGCCCCCTCATTATATCACGTACTGTCCATGCCCGGGAAGGGAAGCGGCTGGGCGCCCAGCTGTTGCTCCACCGCGATCTCCAAGTCGAACTTGATGTGGTCCACGTTGGCGATCAGCTCCTGCATGGCGGCGGGAAGGGAAGGGCCGAGAGACGGGAACGAAAAAAGAAAAAAAAAGTGGGGGGGCCGCCGCGGCCTCCGCCTCGCCGGCAGCCCTGAGGTGATGGGGGGGGGAAAAAAAAAAAGCGGCGTGGGGGGAGGGGAAGGAAGGATGGGAGGAGAAAGAGGCGCGCGCCGCCCGGACGGGCCAATCAGAAAGCAGGCTCCGCGCGCAAGGCAGGCTGGGAGTCCCGTCGCGTCGCGTCGTAGGAAGCGTGTGGGTGGGCTGCGCGCAAAGCAGGCTGGGAGCCGCGTCGCATCGTTTGTCGCGTCGAGGGGGGGGCCAATGGAGGAGCGGAGGGGGGTTTTCCCCCTCCCCCTTCAAAAGGAGGCCGTTGCTGATGGGGCGATGGAGGGGGGGGGGGCGGACGCGGACATGCCCGTGGGACGTCCCGCCCATTAAGGGGGGGGGGAGAGGGGGAGAGGGACAGGGGCGGGGGGGGGGGGGGGGGGGGGGGGGGGGGGGGGGAGGACGGTTGGAGGCCTGGCTGGGCCGCTCCGTGAGGAATTTTTTTTTTTTTCAAATTATAATACTCTTTAATTATCCCATCTGTTTATTAATCTAATTTCTGCCCCGCCTTTCCTTCAGGAGCTCGTGCCTAAGCGCTTCTCCTTCCCCTCAACAACAACCCTGCGAGGTAGGCTGCTAGGTCAAGGATAGAGAGAAAGAAGGCGCGAAGGACAGGCCCAAAGCCTCTCCCCAAGTGGCTTCTGGACTCGGGACGGGTTTGAGCCTGGCCCTCAAGGCCTCCAGAATGTTGTGGGTGCTCCCAACATTGGAGGCTTTTAAGGACAGCCCCATATCTGAAAGGGTACAGGGTCTCTCCCCTTTGAGCAGGGGGCTGGACTAGATGACCTCCAAGGTCCCTTCCAGCTCAATAATTAGTCAATGGAATGGGTCACCTTCAGAAGCGATGGGCGCTCCATCACTCTTGGACTTTTAAGAAGGGACTGGACAGCCACATGGTCTGAAATGGTATAGGGCCGTGATGGCGAACCTATGGCACGGGTGCCAGAGGTGACACGCACAGCCCTCTCTGTGGGCACGCGCGCCATCGCCAGCTCCTCTTCTGGTTTCCGGCGCACACATGCATGCCACCAAGCTGGTCTTCGCGGGTGCTGGAGTGCCAGAAAACGGCCTGAAAACTGTCTGATAAATGGCCAAAAACAGCCAAAAAACAGGCTGTTTTCATGGCCATTTTCAGGCCGTTTTTTGGTTGTTGTTAGGCCATTTTTTGGGCTGTTTTCAGGCCCGAAAATGGCCCAAAAACAGCCAAAAAAACACCCTGAAAATGGCCTGAAAATGGCTCCAAAAACAGCCAAAAAATAGGCATGTGGGTGCTGGCCAGCTGGTGTTTGGGTTTCCGGCACTCTGGCATGCACACACATGCATACATGCACACACATCCTGGTTTGGGCACTTGGTGCCGAAAAGGTTTGCCATCACTGGTATAGGGTCTCCTCCTTGAGCAGGGGGCTGGACTAGATGACCTCCCGGGTCCCTTCCAGCTCTATTCTGGTTCTTTCCCTCAGGAGTTTGGAAGAAGCTCGCTGAAAGATCTGATTTAAATCCCTTTAAATGGTTGTCATTGAATCCTTAATTTCATGTTTTCTTTTATTCGTAGGATGGCTCCTGCAAAATGTATCCTTGCTACTTCGGATGATTTCCCCAGGAAAGCAGCTCATGACGCTTTTAAGATGAAATCCTAATTCCTTGGCTCTGGATTTCATTCATCTGGAGATAAGAAGAAAAAAAAAAAGGTGAAATTATGACGGTTTCTCCGCGGATGTGCCGGGGCTTCTCTGCAGTATTTACCCAAAGAGGGTCGGTCTGTCCTTGGCTTTGTTCCGTGCACTGTTTCAGAGACGTTCCTGGAAGAAAAAAATGGATACGGCCTCCAAGCCCACAACCCACAGCTCTTTTGAACCAGAGACTGATTAGCACATCCCTGTCGGTCTATAAATTACACAACAGAGATTTAGAGGAGATGGTGAGATCATCGGAAGCGCTTTCTAAAGATGAGGAAGAAGAGGAGAAATTTGATGCTGATGAAAGCTTTGGGTTGTTAACTCAGAAGTATCCTCCCAAGCCCTTTTCTCAGGCGGCAGCGGCTGATTTTCACACCGTACGGCTCCAAACCAAAGAAGAAGAGGAGGAAGACGAGGAGCTAGAAATAAAACCCAGATGGGGTCGAAGGAATACCCCATACTGGTATTTTCTGCAGTGCAAAGCATTGATAAAGAAAAATAAGGTCATTACCTTGACTGTGTTCTTCTGCCTTTTTTAAAAAAGATGGGGGTGGAGGGTGTAATTTTTCGGAGTATAAAACGCACCTTTTTCCCCCCTAAAAGGGGGTAAAAATTTAGGTGCGTCTTATACACCGAATGTAGCCCCGCCCACCCATTGGCCCCCACCCTTTGGCCTCTGCCTCGCAGCAGTTACCTCCTTGCAAGCAAACAGCAAGGAAAAACAGCTCCTTTTAGCTTCAGCACAAGCTAATTAGCACAAGTTGATTGGATCGGCCTCCTGACTCTCAGCTGATTTGCTCTCAGCTGTTTTGCGTGGGGCTCTGCTGCTTGCTGCAAGGAGGTAAATTGCTGGAGCAGATTTTTTTTTCCCCTTGTGCTAATCAAGCTATGCTGAAAACGAAAATGAAAGTAAAGCAGGCTGTTGGCTGTTTGCTGCAAGGAGGCAAAATTGCTCAGAGGCAGAGAGAGATTTCTTTTTCTTCTTTTCCTCACCAAAAAAGGTAGGTGCGTCTTATACTCCGGTGCATCTTATACTCCGAAAAATACGGTATATCCTTGAGGGACAAGGGACGATCTATTTGTTTATTGATTTATTAGTTTTTTATCCCACCTTCATTATTTTAAAAGCAGCTCAAAGTGACAAAGCATTCCTAATACTCCTTCCTTCTATTTTGTGCCCAAAATGTAATCATGTGACCTCAGATATTTTTGTGTGTGTTATGTGTGCGTGCAGTGAGTGGTGCGGGGGGACTAGAGGTGGAGCTCACCTCATAATCAGGAGGCTGTGAGTTTGAACCAAGGTAGAGGCAGATATTTCTCTCTGGGCACATTGAGAATAGGCATATAAATCGAACCAATAAATAAATAAATAAGTACATCTGCTGAACAAAACTCCGCATTGGTGACAGGAAGGGCATCCGGTCAGTAAAAACACCCTGCTGGCTCCATTCAGTTGCCCAGACTCCATCTCAAAAAGGATTATGGAGTCGTTAAATGAAGATGATGGTGATAACCATGATGTGTGCGTGCAACCATCGGACATCTGGAACTGGATTATTAAATTTTTCAGCCGGTCCGTCGTAACTTCAAACGGTTGCTAAGCAATCCGTTGTTAAACGAGGGCTCCCTGTATTTACCCCAAAGTTTTGCCTCAGTGCAGTTTTGCTAGTTCGGACTTGTTTGATCTTGTTGAGCTTTGTGGGGTTTCGCAGTTCACCCTCTTCCGTAACCCTCCTCTCTGCAGCTGGTCGAGGCTCTTGAGCTCTTTGAGGTACAGATGCTGAAGGAAGAACGTCTCTGGCCCGAGGAGTTCAACTACACGGTGCTGATTGGTGGATGCGGCAGGGTTGGGTACCTGAAGAAGGCCTTTCGGCTCTACAATGATGTAAATACCCCAAGTTTCTTTCAAAGGGAATTTTTGTTGGGGGGGAAGAAGGCTTGATTTAAATGAATAAGAAAAAAATTGGCTGGTTTAAATCCGCTGATTGGAGGGATCCAATTCAATTGGAAACTTTGACGTGTCGTTTCGCACTGAAGCTCCCTCCTATATTTCCTAAACAGCACTGCAAATTTGCTTGCCAACACTGCATTTGTGTTATTCCTGTAGTTTGACATCGAGTTATTCGTTTTAATGCTCTTGTTTTTAATCCAGCGGTCACCAACTGGTGGTCCGTAGAATAATTATTTGCATTTTTTATATTGCACTAAATCAGGGGTCCTCAAACTACGACCCCTGGGACAGATATGTGCAATGAACGCTTGTGTTGCTGGAAAGAGTCTCCCCCTTCAGGGTCTTTTTGTGCAGGTCGGAGGGGGGCAGAAATTCTGACTTGGGGTCTGCTTCAGCCTCCTGGTGCGGGGCTTTGGGCGAAGGCTGGAGGGAAGCGCCGCTGGTGGCAAGGAGCTGGAGGGCCTTCTTCCAGTGGGACTGCATCATTGCCTGGAACTGGCTGACCATCTCAGCCTGCTGAGCCTCCAGGCACCAGTACCTGGCCTTGCACTCCCGCAGGTCTTCCCTCTGCTTGGAAAGCCTATGCTCGTAGTCCTCAGTGAGGTGCTTTGCTGAGCCTCCTTCTCGGCCAGATCCAATTTGAACTGAGCTGTTTTGCCAACTCTTTCTCGTGGTGGCTCCTTAGCTCCAACAACTGCTTCCTGTTGGGGCCCTAAGGAGCCCAGGCGGGGAGATGAGGAGTGGCTGGGAGGGGAGGGGCGAGTAGAGGCTGGCAAGGCGCCCCTCGATGTGAGTGACATCGAGTTGGCCACGCCCAACCAGTCACATGACCACCTAGCCACGCCCAACCAGTCATTAGGCAAATCATATTAGTGGACCGCTGGATTTAAAATTATGAATTTAGTGTTTCCTAAGGTCCGAAAGGTTGGTGACCCCTGTTCTAATCTGTCGAGGAAGTCTTTACGATTTCCCTTAGAAAGCAACCCTTTCTAAGTTTGTGAACGTAAATGACGCCCATCCTTACTAATAGTTCGAAAGCCTCCATTCTAAACGATGTGTAGTTGCAAAGACGACAGATCGTTTTAGTCGTTTCCTTGCTGAAACTTTTTGTCTTGTTACGTTATGGGGAGGCAGATGAAAAAGCGAGACCTGACGCCTACGATTGCCACGTACACGGCCCTTTTCAACGCCTGCGCGGAGACACCCTGGAAAGACAGTGGTCTTCAGAGCGCCCTTAAGTTACGACAGGAACTGATCCAAAAAGGCATAGAGTTGAATCCAATTGCGTATCGCGCTTTGTTGAAATGCTGTGCTCTGTGTTCGGATCTCCGCATGTGCTTGGATATATTAAAGGTAAAAAGAAGAAAAAAAAAGCGACTGTTGGTATAAATTTATAATTCTTTGCAAAATTGTATCTATCAGCTGCCTTAGAAATCTCACACATACTCCAAATATAGGATAAATCACCATCATGATAATTTATATGCTGCTTGACTCTAGGTATAAATAAACCATGACATGTTCCACAAATATTTTAACAAGAAGTTTAAGGGGAATTTCTGAGGTTGCAGTTGGAAAAACGGTCGTTATGACATATATCCTTTAGAATTTATTGTTGTTTCACCAACTTTGGAATAGTCTGTATAAACCAGAAAAGAAACTCTTGGTTATTTGCAAAGAAATGGATGATGGGTTCCTAGAAATGGGCTGATTTTTTTTCTGGTCTTCACAAGATTAAAATTAAGGCAGGATTCACATGTTGCAGTGTAGCCACTTACCAGGGTTATAAAATATCCTTACTTCACAAAACATACTAAGCTAAAACCAGACAAAGCATATGGTGGTTTAGTAGAGTTGGTGAAAACAGTCAGAAGATGGTATTTTATTGCCTAAGGCACATCCGTTTCTGATCGACAGGTGAACGCAACCTTAATTTTTATCCTTAATTTAAAAAAAAAAAAAATTATGGCAAATTTCTTACTGTCTGTTTCCCGGGAATGCTATATATATGGAATACAGAACAACTGATCTTTTGTTAACATGTTTATATTGAAGAGTAATTACGGAATCTTTCCTCAGGAAATGGTGGAAAATGGCCATCAAATCACCATAGATACTTTCAACATCCTGCTCATGGGATGTATAAACGACAAAGAGAACGGGTTCCGCTATGCTTTACAGGTCTGTTTTTTGCCCTTTGCTTCCTTCCAATGGTGGGTACAAACCAAGCTCTTTCTGCCCTCCCCGGTGCATGCTGACTGGGGAATTTTGGGAGCTAAAGTCCACCCCTCTTAAAGACGTCCCAGTTGAGAAATGCTAACTCGAACGGATGTGTATAAGTTAATGATCAGTACTGTTGTTTGTCATGCCCCTGTCGGAGTCTGACTCTGAGATGGAAGAGGAACAGCTGACAGAGAGCGGGAGAGTGGCTCCGTTGGCTGTGGAGGAAACTGGGGAAGGGCAAAGTCAGGCTGGGCAGAGCAGGGGAGAGGAAGAACAAGGGAGAGTGGGTTCTGATGAAGACCAAAACGCACCCCCTCCTCATCCTTGGGCATGCAGGGAAGAATGGAGAAGAGAGCAACATGGGTTGTGTGGCTTACGAGGGAGGAAAGGGCCCCGATTCCCTTCACAAGGCACACCTGGGGATGGAGTTTAAAGGAGGGGCGGTTGTCGGGAACAAATGCTGAGTTTGTGTTTGCTGCTTTATCTGAGTTCCTGGCATCCTCCCAACTGGTTTAATTTACGGCCATGCTACTTCGATTCTGGAATTCCTTCTTCTTGCTTGCCCTGCCGGATTAATTACCTTATCTTGCCCTGTTGGATTAATGGTTGGAAGTTTTGTCTGCTTACAGTTTTGTGGAAGGGTTTTTCTCCAGACCGGAGAGTAAAGGGACGTTGGGGGCAAAGTTTGGAGCTAATAAAGGAACTTATACTTATTGTCTGGCTGTGTTGCCTTTGTGCTACGCCCCGGGTCATCATATCGTTGTTTTTTAAACAGGTTTGGCAGCAGATGGCAAAGCTGAACCTCAAACCTGATCTGTACACTTACAATTTGATGCTGACAGCTGCCAAATACTGTGGCATTGGTGACTCTGAGGTGGCTTCTAAATTGCTACTAAGACCCTCAGAGAAACACCCAACTCACCTGAGGCTGAATCCTGGCAGAGAGCCAGGCACAAAGAGTCAGAGAAAGAAACGAGCCAACGTTCCGGCTTTAATGGTATCGGATGTCGAAGCTCTGGAAAAAAATATGTTCCCAGGAGACAATCCAAAAACTGAGAGGCCTAATAGAAACCGAGATGATGCCAAGGACAGCGCAAAGCTGAAGTCGAGCGATCCCTCCGATGTATCACACTGCGATACAGACGGGAGTTTGGTGATCTCTCATCAGCACCAGTTGGTTCCGGGATCAAGAGCAGAAAACTCCTTCTCGGAGCCTGCCATTCCCCTCCCGAACTTGCTGGATCCGCAGAGCCCAGCCCCACATGTGGTTTCCTTGGGGACGGTGGCAACGCCCTCCGATCGACTGGCCCTGATGGGAAACATGGAAGGTTTCTTAAAAAAAATGAAGGACGACAAGGTGTCGGGGAATATTCGGACGTTCATCTTGCTAGCCGAAAACGTGGAACTCAACAGCCCCTCAGAATCGTCTTTGTTGGCCGTCATGGAGGAGAACAACGTGAAACCAGATGTGGCTTTTTTTAATACGTTGATCAGGAAAAAGAGCAAGAAAGCCGATCTGGAGGCGGCAAAGGTAAGAGCGTCCCGTTCTGGGTGTGGCTCACTATTACGGGAGCGCTGCCTTAGTCAAATTCAACTTTTTAGAGACTTTTAATTAATTGATTAATTTGATATTTTTAAAAATCCCATATGTACAAAGGGGAGGGGAGGGGAGGGGAGAGAGGAGAAGAAGAGAATAGAAGAAAAAAGAAAAGAAAAGAAAGAAAAGAAAAGAAGAAAAGAAAAGAAGAAAAAAGAAAAGAAAAGAGAATAGAATTCTTTATTGGCCAAGTGTGATTGGACACCCAAGGAATTTGCCTTTGGTGCATGCTCTCAGTGTACATATCAAGAATAAAAAGATACAACACTTAGTGATAGTCAAGCTTACTGATAACCTATCAAATCGTACTAGGAAACAAAAACAATACAAATGGTATTGTCCATTGACAGAAAGATACAAGCAAGATACTTATACAAGATACTTTATGGTTATAATCATAAGTGGGAAGAGACAGATACTAGTAAGGAAGAGAAGATTAATTGCAGCCTTAGTGTATAGTTTGACAGTGTTGAGGGAAGTATTTATTTAGCAGAGGGGAAAAAACTGTCCTTGTGTCTAGTTGTTCTGGTGTGCAGTGCCCTATAAAGTATTACTTTATAAGTAACTGAAAGCGACAAAGATACTTAATACTCCATTGGCCTCTTTATTTTCTCCACAACAATAATCCTGTGAGGTGGTTGGAGAAAAGCGTGTTGGCCACCCAGCTTGAAAGCCTAAGGCAGGACTAGAACTCATGGCCCCTCCTGGTTTCTGGCTGTCTTTCTAAGACTTTCGTTCCTGCTTTCTATTTAGGCCAAGATTACAATGACGTGTTAGATAGGTCAGCTACATCTGGAACTACTGCATATTTTAGAGAATGTATACAGCCCTGCTTAATGTCTTTTTCAATTTACAGAGCTTGCTGCCTTTAATGTTGCAAAACGGACTTTCGCCGGATCTGTACACATTTTGTAACTTAGCCATTGCCTGCCGTAAATACAAAGAAGGGATGCAGTTACTGTCGGACATGAAGGTACAAAACAATCCAATTGTTTTTAGCAGACATACGTGAAATTCAACATTTTTGAGGCACTAATTTTCTGCCTTAAAACATTTGCCGTAGCTTCAATCTTTGTCTAGATTCGAACCGAGGCAAAGATAACGTTCTTTCTTCACAACCGCCTTCGTTTGAAATGTTTTTGAGTCTTTTTGTGCATTCGTTTCAGCGATCTGGAATAAAACCCAATGTGCAGATCTACGGTGCGCTGATCAACGCAGCGGTGAGGCGACTGAATTACACTTACCTCATAGAGATCCTCAAAGACATGAGCAGGAATGAGGTGGCTCCAAATGAATTTATTGTTAACATGCTGGAGTTTGCAGCCCAGTATCCTCCTAATTATGATCAGGTAAGATTATCCTCTTGTCTTTTGTGTCGGTGTAAACTTGAGCTGAATTAAGTTACACCTAAAACGTTAGAAACTTAAAACTGTTTAGAAGGCGTTAAATTGCTATGGCTATTGAAACGAAGTTAGGCATATTTGACTTTTGAAAAGTTAAATGCTCACTTTAAGCTTCACCTCCAAAGAAAACCCCATTCATGCTTTTTATTCATATAATTAACCAATACTGATTTGATGGCATTGAGCCCAAATTTTATGTTGTTAAGTGAGGCATTTGTTTAGTGAGTTTTGCCTCATTTTATGACCTTTCCTGCCACAGTTAAGTGAAGCGCTGCAGTTGTTGAAATAAGTTGCTGTGGTTAAGTCAATCTGGTTTTCTCATGGACTTTGCTTGTCCATGAGGGGACGCAAAAGGGGTCGTAAAAGTGGATCACATGGCCCCAGGCAGGACTCTGCAATTTTGATCATGTGACTGTGGATACTGCAGCGGTCATAAAGTGTGAAAAACCATCATAGGTCACTTTTTCAGTGATGTTTTTAACTCTGAACGGTCACTAAATCAATGGTTGTAAATCAAGGACTACCAGGACATGGTATTGTCCATGAAACTGCTAGGAGTAAATATTTGAATCCAAGGAGGCCTCCTCGTTCCAGTTGGGAGAACGTTAAAAACAAAAGCTGGCCCATAAGTCTCAAATTTGTTTTTGCCCAAGACGACCCTCCAGGAATCCTTGGATGCAGGAGGGTCTCGTGTCATCCTGCCTGCCAAGAGACTATTCCGATGCAAGGTGTGCTTTTAATAACTTGCATTTGTTTTTCTTCTTGCAGTACCAGAAAAAGGATCATTATTTAGAGAAAATTGATGGCTTCCGAGCTTTCTATTTCCGTTGGCTTAAGTGGATGCCCGGGGAAGAAACACCACACCCTTGGGCAAAATACCGATGTAAGAAATCGGCACCAGACAAAGATGGCACCAGGCTGGAATAAGATCAAGGCAGCCAGGAGCTAAAATAAAGCAAATATTGGCCATTCATTAATTATGGGATGCTGGCATGTTTTTTAAATTGTTTAATTCTGTACATATCTGTTCACATGGAGCTAAAATTAACCCCTAGGTGTATATACAATTGCAACCCAAATTTATCTGGAACAGTAATAAACTGTTTAATAAATAACATTTTCCTATTACCAACTCTTATTGGAGGCGATTGTCCTATTGTCCTGTTCACACTCTAAAGGAAAGCTTAAACTTGTTTTGTGATAATTGTGCTGTTCCGTCTGTTCCTTAGCCATTTTATTAGCATGGGGAATTCTGGGAGTTGAAGTCCACATATTGTCAAGTCATCAAAGTTGAGAAACAATAGTTTTAACTCTTCAAAGGAAAATATTTAGAAACCTAAAATTGCAAAGCAGTGTTTGGAAGTACAGGTAGTGCTGAGCAACATTCGCTGCAAAGATTCCCAACTACTTCTGGGTACATCGATAAAGAAAACCTAAGAAACTATATAAATACACTTTTGGTAACTAAATAAAATTGGGCTTCAGTAAAGATTCCCAAAGCAAGTGATATTTTCTACCCTTTCACTATCTTGCAGTATCAATAGAGTTATTCACATAATTAAAAAGGGACAATAAGTTTTTTAACATGGCAGTGTATAGAATTTTGTTTCAGCCCCCTGGTTTCTTTGCTTGAAATGGGAGTTGTTGAGTTCTAAGAATCCTATATTTACTAATGATCAGTATTAGTGACCCTCAATATTTTCAAATCATTAGAGGATAAAGAGGTGCCTAATTTAGTCTCTTTTTTTGATAGAACTATTGCATGTAAATCATTTTTTTTAAAAAACCAAAGAATTATGCTTATCATTTGGGGAGAAGTAGGCAAGACTTTATTTTAAGATACAATGACAACATAGGACATGAAAACACATTACTGCATTTACACATTTAATTAATTCTATCGCGGGATACAAAGGGAGTCATCTCGACAGCAGGTTGTGAAAAAAAAAATAGTTCTTATGAGCAGTCCTTGATGGTAACAAGTCACTTAAAACCTCTAAAAAGTTGGGGTTTCTTTTGAAGAACGTTTTCATCCAGAGCAGCCCCGACAGCCACAGTGAGTACACTCAATTATTCTCCCCTGTAGAATGAAACCAACAGATGAGTGGAAACATACCATAAAGTTATGCAAGAAGTAGGAAAAAAAGGATTTTCAGTGGTTGAAAAAAAAAACCTGATTTCAGAGCAGGGGTATTTTTTTTTATAGGACGGGAATTTCATAAATTTTATGTATGATTGGGCTTCTGAATATGCATAAAAGGGGAGAAGAATGTAGACACAAAGCATGGCTGCAAATGACTTACCACTTCCAGTTTGCTTTTGGGCACTCTACAAATGCAATTTGTTCCAAAATTCGTATCGCGGGTCTGGATGCAGCGTAAGCAACAGAGGTTTTCGTAGCCTTGTTTCTTCCATTTTGCAATCAGGTTTTTGTCTGCGTAACCTTCTTTGATGCAATATTCGTATAATTCTACATAGGGCAGATACAAATGAAAGGGTGAATATAGTCCCCTGATTAAATGAGCTAGAATTTGGAAATAGAAAGGTGAACATTGGTAAAGATGCATGGAAATGGCCTTGAAGAAGGAAGTCAGTAAATACCAGATAATTCAGTAAATAACCTCAGCCATAAGGCACAAAGAAACATGTTAAGCTCCAGTTGATTTATTGTTCATACCTATACACAAGAATCCACTCGACAGCATTAAATTGGCACTAGACAAGAATTCATAGAATTCAACAGGACTTGGACTGAAATTGCTTGTGGGAATGTAAGGATTCTAGGTTGATTCCTTGCTTGATTCCACCCCCAGGCTGTCCTGCATAAGCAGAAATGAAAGAAACTCAATATTGTTCTACCTTTTTTTGCTATTAATAGGGGGGTTGCGGAGAAACTCTCCCAGGCTTTCAAGATTCTGTTGTACCCTATAATAAGAGTTCCAGCAGGTTTTTGAAGTCCGTTTCCTGACTTGGCCTACCTCAAAGGGCTGACTTGTTTTTTTTCCCCTCCCCGCACGACAAAAAAAAAACAAGGTTTTATCTTTTCAAGGCGAGATGAAAGAGCCCACTTGTCTTACCTCTGCTAATGGCTTTCCTTTTGTAGAAGAGATCAAAAATATAGCGCGTTTTCTGATGATGAATTCTGAAGATGGGCCAAAGGGATTCCACTTTTCTTTTTCCTTCATGTGGTTCGGTCTCAGCTGAGAGAGAAACAGCACAGACCAAATGTTGCTTATTCATTCTCACATATATTCAGTTTTTCTGTAATGTGTGCAGCCAAGCCAGCTCCCCCCCCCCATACACATACACACCTTCTCTCATTTTTTGATCCAGCTCATCTAAGGTTGGTTCGATCAATTCCCAGCCATCCGGAGGAGGTTTTCTGCTCCTTTTCACCTTGGGCATCTCTTCAAAAAGGGGGAAAAAAAAAACCTGCAGAAGAAACATATTTGAGATGTATGTATACAGCCTGATGAGGAAGACACCCAATGAAAATGGGTGGCGTGAAAATGTCAGTAGGAGATCTAGGACAGTGAGGTTCTTATACCGTGTTGATAAAAACTAAATCCTGTGTTTCTTAAACTTTTTTCTCTCTCCCTTCTCCCTTAAAAAAATAAAGCAACCTAAAAGAGCTTTGGTTTATATGGGTTATATTTATCAAAATATATCAAAAATTAAAATCGACGCGTTTGCTGCCACTGGCCCTTCTCCAAACGAGGCAGTCGCTAAACAAGGACTATCTGCATTCTATGAAACGCATCACTTCCAATTCTGAGTAAGGCAAACATCATCGATCAATATAACTCAGACAAAGCAAAGTTCTTTGGGGTGGGGGAGGGGGGGTGTCCTCCAGGATTTTCCAAAGCGGGGAGGGGTCCTGAGAGGGAAAAACAAAGCTTAAAAAATGCTGCCTGGAGGAATAGCCTCCCACCGACCAGTCCGCTCCCACAGAGAGGGTCTCCTCAGGGTGCCATCAGCCAAGTTATATCGGCTGGCGACACCCAGGGGGAGGGCCTTCTCTGTGGGAGCCCCAGCCCTGTGGAATGAATGGCCCCCGGAAACACGTAAGATCAACGACCTCCGGGTGTTTCACTGAGCACTGAATACCCTGTTGTTCCGCCAGGCCGGGCTATCAATATAATAATTTTAAATTGGGGTATTTTAAATTTTTGGGGTTTTAAACTGGCCAAATCTATTTAATTATTTTAATTTTTAATCATTGTTGTGTCTTGTGTTTTTAAATTGGCTGTACACCGCCCTGAGTCCTTCGGGAGAAGGGCGGTATAGAAATAAAATTATTATTATTAGTAGTAGTAGTAGTAGTAGTAGTAGTAGTAGTAGTTAATCTTTAGTGAGATTCACAGCCTTTGAGGCTGGTTAATAGCTCAGCAGCTCGAGTCCTAACCAAGGACCTAGGAACTGTTAAGGTATCGTCGGAGGATGTAAGCTGTTCCGAGTAAGGTGGTTTTTTGTAGAGTCAAAATGTTCAAGTCCGGCAAATTTAGAATTTCTAAATAGCGGGGTAGCCCTTTGGGTATTGCTCCAAGGGCTCCAATTACAATCGGGACAACACACGATTTCTTTTTCCACAGTCGCTCAACTTCAATTTGTAAGTCCCGGTACTTGGTGATTTTTATTATTATTATTATTATTATTATTATTATTATTATTATTATTATTGATTAGGGGGCTGGATTAGAAGACCTCCAAGGTCCCTTCTGACTCTGTTATTCTGAATATCGAAGGAGAAGAGAAACAGAAGGACGGGAACGTATGTGCAGCTCCATTGGGGAGAATCGTCTTGTATTTTCTGTTATGGATTGCACCAGTAGAGGCTAAACCAATTTCGTTGTATACATGATGTACAATGACAATAAAGGCTATTATTATTAACCCAGCCCAAAGAACTGGGTAAGCAAATGAGCTGAGGTATTTACTACTACTAATACTACTACTACTACTACTACTATTATTATTATTATTATTATTGGTTAATCTTTAGTGAGATTCACAGCCTTTGAGGCTGGTTAATAGCTCAGCAGCTGGAGTCCTAACCAAGGACCTAGGAACTGTTAAGGTATCGTCGGAGGATGTAAGCTGTTCCGAGTAAAGTGGTTTTTTGTAGAGTCAAAATGTTCAAGTCTGGCAAATTTAGAATTTCTAAATAGCGGGGTAGCCCTTTGGGTATTGCTCCAAGGGCTCCAATTACAATCGGGACAACACACGATTTCTTTTTCCACAGCCGCTCGACTTCAATTTGCAAATCCCGGTACTTTGTGATTTTTTCTTGCTGCTTATCTTCAATCCGTGCATCACCAGGTATTGCAATGTCAATGAACCATACTTTTTTCTTTTCAACTCTTGTTATGTCAGGTGTGTTGTGGACCAAGTGCCTGTCAGTCTGAATCCTGAAGTCCCACAAGATCTTGAGTTTCTCATTCTCTAAAACTTTCTCAACCTGATGTTCCCAGTGGATCATCATCATCATCATCATCATCATCATCATCATCATCATCATCATCATTATTATTATTATTATTATTATTATTATTATTATTTCACATCTTATGTAGGGGGGTGGACTAGAAGACCTCCAAGGTCCCTTCCAGATGATCTATTCTGCCTCTGAATCCTCCCTCCCCTCTTCCAGCGGGATCTCCGGTCTTCCTCAGTGGGGAAAGGCCCCTTACAGGGGAAGCCCAGGCAGAAGTTCCACCGGGGAGCCCCCTCCCAGCAAGATGCTCTCCCGGGGGATTTCTGCCTGCCACGCAGAGAGACTCTAAACAGGCCCCAGACAGACAGAGACGAGGCCCTGGGGGTTGGAGGGGGAGAGAAACAGGTCCCCCTTCTGGTCCGACGGAGGGAAGGGGGGGGCTACTTACGATATGGGGGCGCTGCTGTTTTCCTCCGCGGCGCTCTTCCGCTTCCCCGGGGTTCCCGTCGCCCTGCCGTGACGTCACCAGCAGCCCAGGCCCTCCTTCGCGCCGCCGTCGCTTCCCAGGGGGGGGCTTTTCCTAGTCCGTCGGTCCGTCCACAACAGTTGCCTGTTTGGCCCTGCGCCAAGAACATAAGCCGACCCGCCTTCAAAAGAAATTCCTCGGAACGAACCGCCCGGAGCGGGCAAATCCTGCTGGGCGTTCTGCTTTTTATACCCTCCCAGCGCTTAAGTGAACTCCGTTTTTTTTTTCCGTCAGGCGGCAGGAGAGACAGCCCTCAGTGCTTGGCACCTCACGAAACGGGGAGGGGGGGCTTTAAACGGACGTAGACGTCGACGACGCCGGCCCCACTTCCGCTTCCGGGTCGCTCCCAGCTCGGGGCGAAGCGAGGCGTGTAGAAGGGGGGGGGGACGGCAGGAGAAGCAGGACGACTCGCTCTCGCTCTCGCTCGCCGTCGGAGCCGCCATCGTTGCCTGCCCGGCCTCGCTATGCCCAAAGGAGGTGAGCGCTTCTTCTTCCCTGGGGAGGCCCAGCTTTCTCAAGCGAGCGGGACTACACCCCCCATCGTCCCCGGCCGTGCCACATGGGCATCGTGACCCCCCCACCTCACCCCCCCCCCAAACCCTTTGCCTGGAAGGGCCGGGAGGCGCTTCAGGCCTTTCCTGCTGATTTCCCCCCCCACCCACCTCCTTTTAAAATAAATAAATAAATAAATATTAAAATTGGGGAGGGGGAGAGGAGGATATCATTCCAGGACTGCCCTTCCCCCACTCGAAAGACGGGGAGGGGGTCTTTCGGGTGGGGGAGGGGGGCTACCGCCCCCCCCCCCCAGATTCTCGGGCAGGTCCTTTAAAGAGATTGGGGGGGGGGCACTAATTAGGGGGAGGGGGGGGGGGGGGGGGGGGGGGGGGGCGTCCATGAGAACCACATCTTGGGGTGGGGGTGTGTTAATGAGGGTCAAAATTAGAGGGTGGGGGGGGGGTCCCAAGACAATTATTTAAGGAGTCTTAAGGAGAGCCGAATCAAGTTGTGAGGCTGAATTAGTGTCAAAATAGAGGGGGGGGGGTCTCCAAGAGAGGCAAATGAGTGTGGGTGGGGGGGGTCTTAAGGAGAATAAAATCAAGGGGGAGGGGCATCAATTAGTGCCAAATCAGGGCTGGGGGGGCGTCAATGAGAGCCACATCTGGGGGGGGGTTAATGAGGGTGAAATTAGAGGGTGGGGAGGGTCTCAAACAGAGCCCAATGAGTGGGTGGGGCTTCATTAATTTGTCTCTTTTGGAGACCCCACCCCCACCCCTCCTGATTTGACAGGAGGGGTGCGGGGGTCTCAATGTCAGTCAAATCAGTGGGAGGGGGGTCTTAAGGAGAGCCGAATCAAGTTGTGAGGCTGAATTATTGTCAAAATAGAGAGTGGGTGGGTCTCCAAGAGAGACAAATGAGTGTGGGGGGTCTTGAGAGTGAAATCAGGGGGGAGGGGCATTAATTAGTGCCAAATCAGGGCTGGGGGGGGCGTCAATGAGAGCCACATCTGGGGGGGGTTAATGAGGGTGAAATTAGAGGGTGGGGAGGGTCTCAAAGAGAGCCCAATAGTGGTTGGGGCTTCATTAATTTGCCTCTTTTGGAGACCCCACCCCTCCTGATTTGACAGGAGGGGTGGGTGGGGGGGGTCTCAATGTCTGTCAAATCAGCGGGAGGGGGAGTCTGAAGGAGAGCCAAATCAGGTTGTGTGAAGCGGGATTAGTGTCAAAATAGAGGGTGGGGGAGGGTCTCCAAAAGAGGAAAATGAGTGTGGGTGGGGGGAAACACGAGAGTGAAATCAGGGGGATGGGCTTCATTAGTGTCAAATCAGGAGGAGTGGGGGGTCTCAAAGATGGCCAAGTCAGCGGGAGTGGGGGTCTTAAGGAGAGCCAGGTTGTGGGGCCGAATTAATTGTCAAAATAGAGGTGGTGTCTTCAAAAGAGGCAAATTAAAGAGGGGGTCTTAAGGAGAGCCAAATCAGGTTGTGTGGGGCTGGGTTAGTGTCAGAATAGAGGGTGGGGGGAGGTCTCCAAAAGCGGCAAATGAGTGGGTGGGTTTTTTTTAAGGAGAGTGAAATCAGGGGGAGGAGCTTCATTCAGTCTTCTCTGGGCCCGTGAACCTGTAGATTGGTGGTTTGTTATCAATGCCCCCAATTGTAAGAGGGAAATATTCGGATTTCAAGTCTTTCATGGTGCCGGTCGATGACTGCGGTTTCTGGCCCTTCCCAGCTTTCGTGAGAGGGCAGCTGGTGTTAACATCTGGCCTCGAAGCGGCCTAAGACTCCATCCACTGCTGTGAGAGAGCAGTGGAGTTTACTGACTTGGAATTGATTGAATATCCCTTTCCAGACTTTGGACTATCTTGATTACCCCCAGGCCGTTGATTTTCCCCCGATTGATTGATTAATTAATTGATTGATTAGATGTATTCGCCAACAGAACTTCTTATTCTGCGAGACTCCCCCCTCTCGCAGGTGTGGCCCTCCACTTTATCAAGGGCCTACCTTTATGACGGGCTTTGGCACCCCGAGAGGTGGCATGCTGCAAAAAGGGGATTAAGGGGTTTTTTAGGGAAACTTTTTGATAGATTTTTAAGGGATTTTAAGGGACGGGAGGGTTGTGTGGGTTTGGGGGTTAACCCACGGGGGGAGGGGTCCGGCCCAGCTGTTAGTGGGGCCACGGAGGGTGTAGATTCCGGGGGTAAGGGGGACATCAGAGTCCATTCTGTCGAGGGCTTTTCTATCAATGTGTTGAGTGGGAGGGGCAGATATGGTGGGAGCAGGGGGCCGCATCATGTAGTGGGGGCGCGCACTCGCTATCTTCGAGCGGTGGCACGCCCCGGTCCCCATAGCCCTTCTCGTATCCCAGGCTGTTCAGACTCTCAGGGCCCGAGCCTTCGGCTGCTGTCGTGCAATGCCAGGTCCGTGGTAAATAAAGCCCCCCTCATTTGCGATCTTATTCAGGAGGGGGGAGCGGACCTGGCAGGTATTACGGAGACCTGGTTGGGCCATGAGGGGGGGGTTCCCCTCATGGATATGTGCCCACCAGGTTTCCGAGCATTCCATCAGCCGAGAGCTCAGGGCAGGGGCGGGGGGGGTGGCGGTTATTATAAAGGAAAGTCTTGATCCGAGGGAGACCACTGTTCCACAGATAGCCGGATGTGAGTCCCTTTTTGTGAGGTGGGGTCGTGGAGTACAGATGGGCTTGTTGATCACGTACCTGGCTCCCTGCCGCGTGGCAATGGCCCTGCTCGAGCTGCTCAACGTCATAGCTGAGGTGGCGGTTGGTACCCCCAGACTTCTAGTCATGGGGGATTTCAACTTGCCATCTGTCGGCGAAACGTCTGAGGTGGCTCGAGAGTTCATGGCTTCCATGACGGCCATGGACCTTACTCAGTTAATTCATGACCCCACTCACACGGGTGGACACACTCTGGACTTAGTTTTTGTCTCTGGTCAGTGGTTGAGTGGCCTTGATACAGGGGATATAGTCATCGAACCCTTGTCATGGTCTGACCACTCGCTCCTTCGACTGGACTTTCTAACCGCTGCACCCCGCCGCAGGGAGGCGGGACCGACCAGGTGGTTCCGCCCCAGGCGCCTGATGGACCCTGATAGGTTCCAGATGGAGCTTGGGCCATTTCCTGAGACTCTGGCTCACGACTCGACTGAGGACCTGGTGGCCGCCTGGGATAGTGCGGCTGCCGGGGCCTTGGACCGTGTCGTGCCTTTGCGGCCTCTGACCCGGCACCGAACTCACCTAGCTCCTTGGTTTTCCGAGGAGCTCAGGGAGATGAAGCGCCGGAAAAGACGCCTGGAGAGTAGTTGGAGGACCAGTCGCTCCGAATCCGACCGAACACTGGTGAGGTCTCATATTAAGACCTACCTAGTGGCGATAAAAGCGGCGAAATCTAGTTATTTTGCCGCTCTTATCGCGTCATCAGATAATCGCCCGGCCGCCCTGTTTAGGGTGACCCGCTCCCTCCTCCATCTGGAAGCGCGGGATGACCCCTTGCAGGGCCGAGCCGAGGACTTTGTGCAGTATCTGTATGACAAAATCGCTCAGATTCGGGAAGGACTGGCCTCTGACTGGGTATGTCCGGACGGGATGACTGAGGCAGGTCTTGAGAGTGTTATCTGGGGGGAGTTCGATCCTGTGGCTCCCGAGGACATGGACAGGGTCCTGGGACGGCTGAACGCGACCACATGTTTATTGGACCCGTGTCCCTCCTGGTTGGTACTGGCTTCCCGGGAGGTGACACGAGGCTGGCTCCAGAAGATTGTTAACGCTTCTTTGAGTGAGGGGATCCTGCCGGCCGCTTTGAAAGAAGCGGTTGTGAGGCCCCTCCTCAAGAAGCCCTCTCTGGATCCGGCTGTTTTGGCTAACTATCGTCCAGTCTCCAACCTTCGCTTTGTTGCGAAGGTTGTTGAGAGTGTGGTGGCGCAACAGCTTCCCCAGTACCTGGATGAAGCTGTCTATCTAGACCCGCTCCAGTCCGGCTTCCGGCCTGGGTACAGCACGGAAACGGCATTGGTCGCGTTGGTGGATGATCTCTGGAGGGCTCGGGATAGGGGTTGCTCCTCTGTCCTGGTCCTGTTAGACCTCTCAGCGGCTTTTGATACCATCGACCATGGTATCATGTTGCACCGGTTGGCGGGGTTGGGGGTGGGGGGCACCGTTCTGCGGTGGTTCTCCTCCTACCTCTCTGACCGGTCGCAATCTGTGTTGACGGGGGGGCAGCGGTCGACCCCGAGGCACCTTGCTTGTGGGGTGCCACAAGGGTCGGTCCTCTCGCCCCTTCTGTTCAACATTTATGTAAAGCCGCTGGGTGAGATCATCCGTGGCTTTGGGGTGGAGTTCCATCAGTACGCTGATGACACCCAGCTGTACATCTCCACCCCAGGCCACCCCAACGATGCCCTTGAAGTGATGTCCCAGTGTCTGGAGGCCGTGCGGGCCTGGATGGGGAGAAACAGGCTCCGACTCAACCCCTCCAAGACCGAGTGGCTGTGGCTTCCAGCGTCCCGATATAGCCAGCTGACGCCATCGCTGGCTATTGGGGGCGAATCACTCGCCCCCACGGAGAGGGCTCGCAACTTGGGCGTCCTCCTGGACGCACGGCTGTCTTTAGAAGATCATTTGACGGCCGTGGCCAGGGGGGCTTTTTATCAGGTTCGCCTGATACGCCAGCTGCGCCCCTTTCTAGATCGGGACTCTCTACGCACAGTCACTCAAGCACTAGTCATTTCCCGCCTGGACTACTGCAACGCTCTCTACATGGGGCTCCCCCTGGGGTGCACCCGGAGGCTCCAGCTGGTCCAGAACGCGGCCGCGCGGGGGATTATGGGGGCGACGAGGCGCTCCCATGTGACACCTCTCCTGCGCGAGCTGCACTGGCTCCCAGTGGTCTTCCGGGTGCGCTTCAAGGTGTTGGTGACCACCTTTAAAGCGCTCCATGGCTTAGGGCCGGGGTATTTACGAGACCACCTTCTGCCACCAATAGCCTCCCACCGGCCAGTACGCTCGCACAGAGTGGGCCTCCTCAGGGTGCCGTCCGCCAGACAATGTCGGCTGGCGACCCCCAGGGGGAGAGCCTTCTCTGTGACGGCGCCCACCCTCTGGAACAACCTTCCCCCAGAGTTACGTATAATAACAGACCTCCGGATTTTTCGTCGGGCCCTGAAAACCTATTTATTTCAACAAGCTGGGCTGGCCTGAGTTAAATTTTAAATTGATTTTAAATTGGGTTATCTTAATTTCGGCCAAAATATTTAATTATTTTAATACTGTTCTTAAATTTTGTATGCTTTGTTTTTATCTTGGCTGTGCACCGCCCTGAGTCCTATTGGAGAAGGGCGGTATAGAAATTTAATTAATAAATAAATAAATAAAATAAATAAATTAGTGCCAAATCAGGAGGGGTGGGGGGCCTCAACGACAGTCAAATCAGCGGGAGGGGGGTCTTAAGGAGAGCCAAATCAGGTTGTGGGTTGTGCCAAATTAATGGTCAAAGGGGGGGTCTCCAAAAGAGGCAAATTAAAGAGTGGGGGTCCTGAGAGTGAAATCAGGGCGAGGGGCTTAATTAGTGTCAAATCAGGAGGTGGGGGTCTTAATTAGCCCCAGTAGGGGGACAGTAGAGAGACCCTCCCTGCCTTTCCTTCCTGATCCCAGCCTCCCATGTGGTGGGGATCCAGTGACTAGGCAGCCAATCAGTCTCTCCTCTCCTCTGGGATGTCAGGGCCAGCTGAGTGGATTGCATCAGATCTGCTTGGAAGGGCTTCCCTGGAGTTGACTGTCAATCAGAACAAGAGCTGTGTTACTCCCCAGCAGTAACGCGGAAAGTAAGTTTTAGCAAAACTACGCACGTGCGAAGCGCACAATCACTGAACCGGTTGTTAAACCAGCAGGATCCCACCACTGCTCTCTGCTTCCATTGACGGGAGTTCTAGGCCTTGCCTGACAATGGAAGCCGAACAATTTAGAAGAGGAAGAGGTGGGGGGCGGGGGAAAGTACCGTATTTTTCGGAGTATAAGACGCACCTTTTTTCCCCCAAAAAAGAGGGTGAAAATCTGGGTGTGTCTTAGCCCCGTCCAGCTTCTCAAACGGAGAAGGTTTCAGAGGCTGAAAAAAGCATCAGAAAAGAAGCTTCAGAAAAGAAGTCCCCAAACAGAGCTTCAGAGGCTTTTTTTCTGAAACTGTTTCAGAGGCTTTTTTTCTGAAGCTGTTTCAGAGGCTTTTTTTCTGAAGCTGTTTCAGAGGCTTTTTTTCTGAAGCTGTTTCAGAGGCTTTTTTTCTGAAGCTGTTTCAGAGGCTTTTTTTCTGAAGCTGTTTCAGAGGCTTTTTTTCTGAAGCTGTTTCAGAGGCTTTTTTTCTGAAGCTGTTTCGGAGGCTTTCAGAGGCAGGAAAAAAAGCAAAAAAAAAAAAAGCAAGGCACAGAGCTCACAACCAAGGAACCTGTTGCTAAAATTCACCTCTGGGAACAGCTGATTGGGGGAGGCTGATCCACCTGCCAGTCAGCTTCTTTCTTATTTTCCTCCCCAAAAACTAAGGTGCGTCTTATACTCCAAAAAATCTTTAAACCCACTTTTTTCTTGCAGGTAAAAAAGGGGGCCATAAAGGCCGAGCACGGCAGTATACAAGCCCGGAAGAGATCGATGCCCAGCTGCAGGCTGAGAAACAGAAGGCCAGGGTAAGCAGCCGAGCTTTCTAAGTGCTGTTGACAAGCCCCAACATTTATGTTGCTAAGCGAGACGCTTGTTCCGTGAGTTTTGTCCCCCGTTTTACGACTTTTCTTGCGGCGGTTCAGTGAACCACAGCGGTTGTTGGATTAGTGACATGGTTGTTCAGTTGACTTTTCTTGTCCGACGGTCGCAAAAGGAGATCACATGACCCTGGTGTCAGCGTTCCAAGTCACGCACCCATAGAAAGCAGAACGCCGAGGCAGGCAAATTCCTCAAAGAACGGTTTTATTGGCTACATCACATTGGCGCAGACTGGTGAAAGCCGACTCTGAAAGTTCCCGCGGCTTTCACCTAATTAAAGTTTTTGTCAGAATTTGTTGCAAAAAATCAAATCCAGAAAGCACAAACAGGCAGACAGATGCAGCAGGATTCATTAACTTCTTTATATACATAATAATACATGAAGGTAAAGGGACAATACCAATATGGATTCTTCTTCAACGTCGTAGCAGTTACAAGCAAAACGCAAGGCAGGCGAGAACAGTTAGTTTCATTTCAGCAGAGCAGACTAGTTTCAGTTTTTTCTGCGCAGACTCAGAAGCTGCAGACTAAGATACACCCTGGCTTCAGTCTGTCTCAGCTCCCAAACAGCCCTCATTGGCTGACTTAATTGCTATGCCTATTCATTGGCTGATCTATTCCAGTTTATGAATATTCATACTCTGAATAGTTTTCCCTTTCCACCCCACCCCCCAAGTCACTGGTCACACTGTCCAATCCAGGTGCTGGCCGGTTGCTTGGTTACTTCGCTCCTCCTCTGGCCAGCCACCTGTCCTTGGTTCCCACAGGAAAATGTTATTCTTTGGGCTACAAAACCCCATCTATTTCCTCCCACCCCCCCCCCCCTCCTCCCTCCGTTGTGTGGCAACCCTGAAGCTTCCAAGATGGGGCCTCAGCCAGGATCCCTTCAGGGTTGACACCTGGGGACATGACAACCGTCATCCAGATGAGTCAGTTGCCAGCTGTGTGAATTTGACCACATGACTGTGGGGGATGCTGCAACGGTGTGAAAAAACGGTCGGTTTATACTAAGGTAGCTTAGGCTGAGAATTGGAGGCTCGCCCTTGTCGTCCTCCCAACATCCCCACGATGCCAGGCAGTCAGAGAGAGGAATGGGCGGAAAGCCAGAGCACCCCCACCTCCCCCCCTTGGGTGAAGCTAAATCGCTCCCTGCCGTTCTGATATCCCACCCCCACCCCTGCCCCCACCCCCAAATCTTCCCCCGCAGCTATTCTGGCTTGCTGATGCTTCTCCTTTCCACAGGAAGAGGAAGAGGAGCAAGAGGAAGGCGGCTCCGGGGCCTCCGGAGAACCCAAGAAGAAGGAGAAATCGCTAGATTCGGATGAGAGCGAGGAAGAAGAGGGCGAAGACTATCAGGTAGAGGGGGAGGCCGGGGCCGGAGAAGAATTTTCCCCATTTAGGACCAAGAAGAGCGATGAGATGCTGTCGGCTTTGATTCAGCCGGTGGACACCTCTACACACGCATTACGTTGTCTTGCATTCCCTTCCCACACGCCAGGATCTGGCTACCCCTTGGCCTTAAAGCCAGCCTTCCCAGGTGGACCAGACAGGAAACAGACCTGATATGCTAAGTCTACTTTTTTGTAAGGCTACGTTAACAGGCTCTTGCAAGTACAGATTTTCCACATCACTATTTACAGCCTAACAAGTTGGGGAGGATTCTTTCTGTCTGCCTTCCTTTCCTTTCCTCTCCTTCCCTCCCCTTCCTTCTTCCTTTCCTCTCCTCCCCTTCTTCCCCTTCCTTCCTCCCCTTTTCCTCCTTCCCCTTCTTCTCCTTCCTCTCCTTCCTTTCTCCCCTTCCTCTGCTTCTTCCTCCCTCCCTCCCTTTCCTCTTCTTTTCCTTCCTTCCTCCCCTTTTCCTCCTTTCCTTCCCTTCCCTTCCTTCTTCCCCTTCCTTTTCTTCCTTTCTCCCCTTCCTCTGCTTCTTCCTCCCTTTCCTCTCCTCCCCTTCTTCCCCTTCCTTCTTCCTTCCTCTCCTTTTTCTCCTTCCCTTCCCTTCGTCCTTCCTCTCCTTCCCTTCATTCTTCCCCTTCCATTTCTTCCTTTGTCCCCTTCCCTTCCTCCCTTTCCTCTCCTCCTTTCCTCCTCCTCCTTCCTTCCTTTCCTTTCCTCCCGTTCTTTCTTCCTCTCCTCCCCTTCCTTTCCCCCTCCCCCCATTCTCCTCCTTCCTCTCCTCTCCTCCCATCCATCCATCCTTCCTTCTTTTCCCCACTATGCAGCCGCTAACTACGACCTCTCTTAGCCGACCATTCCCTGGGCGGCATCTCTTTCCTCCACCTCTCAAGGCCACACGATCGTCACACAATTCCCTTCCAGGAAGCTGTTCCAACCGGCTCTCTTCTTCTTTTTTGTTGTTGTTGCCTTTCAATTCCAGCCGAAACACAAAGGAGTGGAAGGCATGATCGACATAGAGAATCCCAACCGGGCAGTGCAAACAGCTAAAAAAGTCACTCAGCTCGATTTAGAAGGCCCGAAGAGAATTAGGGGGGGGAGAAGGGTAGGCCCTCCCGCCGGGGAGGGGGGGGGGGGGGGGGGGGGGGGGGGAGTCCTGGCCTCTTCATTCCCTCCAGTCTCCCGGAATTAGCCAAAGGGAGGGAGATTTAAACGAAGAGTTTTTTTATTAACCCTTGGAACATAGTGAATTTTTAATTTAATTTAATTTAATATTTAAATTTATATACCGCCCTTCTCCCGGAGGGCGGTGAACAGCCATAGATAAAAAACATAGAATACAAAATTTAAAAACAATTTAAAAACATATTAAGCAATTTGGCCCGACAGTTAAAATCCCCCATTTAAAATTCAAATTATATATTGCCAAGCCAACAAGTTAGGCAATCATCATTTCCTAACACCCTGTTTCCCCCCAAAATAAGACATCCCCCTGATAATAAGCCCAATCGGGATTTGGAGCACATGGCAATAAGGCCAAGCACTTATTTCAGGGTTCAAAAAAATAAATATAAGACAGGGTCTTATTTTCGGGGAAACACGGTACATAGCCAGGCAGCAATGGAATGGAGGCTGTTTTTGTTCCCTCTGGTGAGCCTCACCTGCTGTGCTCAGAACCATCCAGACGGAAATCCACGTGTCTTTGGGGAAATTTGGGGGGGGGGGGGGCAGGTCTCCAAAGCCTCCTGGTTACTTGGATCTTTTGCCGACTCTTCCCTCCCCTCCCGGTACCTTTGCAGAGAAGAGATTGAAAAACAGAAGGCAAAAGAAAGGTACATGAAGATGCACCTGGCAGGGAAAACGGAACAGGCCAAGGCCGACCTCGCCCGGCTAGCCATTATCCGGAAACAGAGAGAAGAGGCAGCCAAAAAGAAAGAGGAAGAGAGGAGAGGTAAGGAGGGAAACGTCTGGCTGAGGCTAAAGGGAGCTGAGGCCCCTGTGAAGCTTTGGGAGCCCTTTATTGGCACAAGGTAGTCCTCATACATAGGACCATTGCGGCATTCCCGCAAGTCACACGATCAAAATCCGGGAAGGAAGGAGGGAGGGAGGGAGAAAGAAGAGAGAAGAAAAGGAAGGAAGGAGATAGAAATGAAAAGAGGGAGGGAGGAAGAGAAAAGAAAGAAAGAAAGAGAAAGAAAAGAAAGAGAGAAAGGAGCTATCAGTCCTTTTTAAAGGGGGTCGATCTGGAGTTAGGTCCCTTCACATAGGAATTTTTATGCAGTCTAGAAAGGTGGATGGAAGGGAGGGAGGGAAGGAAGGAGATGGAAATGAGAAGGGAGGGGGGGAGGAAGAAAGAGAGAAGGAAGGAAGGAGATGGAAATGAGAAGAGTGGGAGGGAGGAAGAAGAGAGGGAAGGAAGGAAGGAGATGGAAATGAGAAGAGAGGGAAGGAGGAAGAAAGAGGAAGGAAGGAAGGAGATGGAAATGAGAAGAGAGGGAAGGAGGAAGAAAGGAAGGAAGGAAGGAGATGGAAATGAGGAGTGGGAGGGAGGAAGAAACGGAAGGAAGGAAGGAGATGGAAATGAGAAGAGAGGGAAGGAGGAAGAAAGAGGAAGGAAGGAAGGAGATGGAAATGAGAAGAGTGGGAGGGAGGAAGAAAGAGGGAAGGAAGGAGATGGAAATGAGAAGAGAGGGAAGGAGGAAAGAAAGAGGAAGGAAGGAAGGAGATGGAAATGAGAAGAGTGGGAGGAAGAAAGAAAAAGAAAGAGGGAGGGAAATAGAAATAAGAGAGGGAAGGAGGAAGAAAGAAAAAGGGAGGGAGATGGAAATGAGAAGAGAGGGAAGGAGGAAGAAAGAAGAGAGAGAGAGAAGGAAGGATTCAGGGATTCAGCTGTTCTTCCTTCTCCGCTTGCCCCCCCCCTCCCCCCAGCTAAAGACGACGCGGCCATGGCAGGCAAGCGGATGCAGTCGCTGTCCCTCAACAAGTAAAGGCAGCCCCCTCCCCCCGAGAGGAGGGACACCCCCGGGACGGTGCTGGGCCTGGCACCCTTCGGACTCGCTGCGGCGTCAATTTCCCAGAGAGGCTGCAGGAGGAGGGCAGCGGCAGCAGCGATGGCGGCCTCACCGTCACCTCTGAAGAGACTCTGACCGCTCCGTGTTCGTCTTCATCTGGGCACAGAATTCCACGGGATTACTTTTTTGGGGGGGGTGGGGTGGGGAGGGAGGGAGGGGCACGCAGGCGAGGGGAGGGGGAAGAGGGCAGGAGGTATCCAGGCACCCTTCACCTTTGGTGCAAAAATCGTGACAACACCGACGGTTGCATTAAAATGACCGTTTTCGGGGAGGGGGAAACCAAACGCCGCCGGCTGAACGGTTTGATGTGTTTTTGATTTTCGGGTGGGAGGCCAACGGAGGCGGAAGGTTTGCTGGGGAGGGGGCCGATCGCTTCAGCTAGCTTTCAGGGAAACTAGGCAGGGAAGGGGGTGGGAGACGAGTAGCTTGGACCCCTGTAGATGCATTTCCCAAAAATAAAAAATACGGGGACGAGGGAGTGTGCTTTGGCATGGACCTGGGCTGCACAAAAGTCCAGGGAAATGAACAGTTACGGGGCAGGAGGTGGAATCCTTGACGCACACCCCCTCCAAAACCCTCTTGGCTATTTTAGTTTTCTCTTTTCCACCCTGTTGTTTTATTTTATTTTATTTTATTTTAAAACCGTCCTTTTCATTTCTTTCCCTCCTTCTCTGGAAGTCGATAATGACTTCTGTTTTTTAAAAACAAACCCTTGGAAAAGCGAAAACTAGAGAACGCATCTTCGGGATTGTGCATCTTTCCGGAATAGAGGCAGGCGTGCGCGCGCAAGAGAGAGAAAGAAAGAGAGAGAGAGAAAAAAGAGAAAAACCTGTATATTTGGCTGAATAAAGTTTAAATTATCGTAACGGTCTGGTCTGGTGCCTTTTCACACCCTCGGGACAGCACTTTGAACATCACCCGAAAAATGGTTTGAAGTCCTGTTTTTCTTTAGGGTGGATAACCTCAATTTAGGGGTTCCTACAAGCCTCACACAGGATGTGGTGGCTCAGTGGCTAATCGAAAGGTCGGCTATTCAGCGGTTCGAATCCCTGGTGCCGCATAACGGGGTGAGCTCCCGTGGCTTGTCCCAGCTTCTGCCAACCTAGCAGTTCGAAAGCACGTAAAAAATGCAAGGAGAAAAATAGGGACCACCTTTGGTGGGAAGGGAACAGTGTTCCGTGCGCCTTTGGCATTGAGTCATGCCGGCCACATGACCACGGAGACATCTTCGGACAGCGCTGGCTCTTTGGCTTCGAAACGGAGATGAGCACCGCCCCCTAGAGTCGGGAACGACCAGCACGCATGTACAAGGGGAAGCCTCACAGACTTCATTTCCTAGGGTCCCACTGGGGAATTCCAAAATTGGAGATCCTGCCAACGAGGATCGAAGAAGAGGCAGTCCTCAAGTTATAGCCATTCATTGAGTCACCGTTCAAAGTTACAACGGCACTAAAAAAAGTTGACTTAAGATCGTGTTTCACCCTTACGACCGTTGCAGCCTCCCCGGGATCCTGTGATCCAAATTCTGACGCTTGGCAACTGACTCGTATTTATGGTGGTCGCAGTGCTCCCTTTTTGCGACCTGACGAGCAAATTCAACGGGGAAGCCAGATTCACTGAACAACCAGTTACTCACTGAACAACCGCAGTGATTCACTTAACGATTGTGGCAAGAATGGTGGTAAAATGGGGCAAAACTCACTTAACAGATGTTTCACTTAGCAACAAGAAATTTTGGGCTCCGTTTTAGTTTTAAGTTAAGGTTTATGGGGCAAAACTCACTTAACTTTCGCTTAGCAACAAATTTTGGGCTCCATTGCGGTTGTAAATCAAGGATTATGGGGCAAAACTCAAATCTTAACACATGTTTCACTTAGCAACAAATTTTGGGCAAAGATTCATCTTTAAATTCTGAGAAATGCAGGCTTGATTGCTGGGGATACGAAGACCCCAAACCATGATAGACAGAGATTTTAGACTGTTTTTAATTGCATGTATTTTATTTTATTTTATTTTATTTTAAACCCCTCCTGGGTTCCTGCCCAGGAGGCCTCCCAAAAAAAAAAAAAGCTGAGCTTGTAAGCATCTGGGATTGTCATTTTAAGGATTCTGGAAAGCAGGAATCTAAGATTTAAGCCTTGATTGATTTCCTTGGCAGGCGGGAATCCCTGTTTCTGCTGGCGGATTTTATACGCAGGGAGGCTTATTTCATCCGGAGGCCTTTCATTGCAGCCTCCAAGGTCTGAAACACAAAAGGAAGAGGCTTTACAAACCGGTAGCTATTTGCTCAAGATCAGAAATGGATCCGTTGGGATCCGGCCGGGTGTGATTCTTACCGCGGATTCTCAATACTATAAATCTGTAACCTCTTGATTTTTTTTTTCCCCCTCCCCTTTTCTTTGGCTCAAGTGAAAACTAAAAACATGGAATGAAAAAAAAAACTTCTCGTCTTCTGTTTTTGCCCCTGAAAAAACTCAACTTTCCTTTCCTCCTTCAATTTTCTTCCAAATTTCCACCAAAGCTTGGGGGGGGGGATTATTTTAAAGGGAGGGGGGGTTTGTTTCTTGCAATTGAAAGAGTGGAAACCGGACACAGCTCCTTCCCGTTGACTTAAATAAAAAGGAACCACGAAAGTGGTCACGTTTGAGAAACCCTGCATTGCAGCTAACCAGAGTTTTTATTTTCTTTATTTTATTTTTTTTAAAGAATGCTTCTGGGACCTGTTATTACAAAGACAGATGATGCTTGAATCAGCAGGATTTTTTTTTTTGCAGCAGCAGAAGCCCCAACTCGGTGGTGGAATTTAAATTTTTTTACTACCGGTTTGGTGGGCGTGCTGGGGCTTGGTGGCAGGGGAAAGATACTGCAAAATCCCCATTCCCATCCCACTCCTGGGGGAAGGATACTGCAAAATCCCCATTCCCTCCCCATTCCTGGGGGAAGGATACTGCAAAATCCCCATTCCCTTCCCACTCCTGGGGGAAGGATACTGCAAAATCCCCATTCCCTCCCCACTCCTGGAGGGAAGGATACTGCAAAATCCACCATTCCCTCCCCACTCCTGGAGGGAAGGATACTGCAAAATCCACCATTCTCCCCACTCCTGGGGGAAGTATACTGCAAAATCTCCATTGGCACCCCACTTTGGGGCCAGCCAGAGGTGGTATTTGCCGATTCTCCGAACTACTCAAAATTTCCGCTACAGGTTCTCCAGAACCTGTCAAAACCTGCTGAATAGCACCCCTGGTGCCAACTTCACGTTTAAGCCTGAAAATGTCTAAACTCAACCTTTCGTTGTTCCTCTCTAACCATTCTACCTGGATGGCCCTGGGGCAGCCCCCTTCTTCCCTCTCTGCTCACCTTCACGTCCCATATGCTCATGCCGCCATCCATTCCGGTGGTGCAGAATTTGGAGCAGTTGCCCTTCCCGCCTGCCACCACAGAGATTTGGCTGGAAGAGAATAGAAGGATCCCTGGGTTGAGTCTTCTCCAACTGGAGCAGAAAACACTACAAACCCCTTACTGATAAGACAACGATCATCCATCATCCGTGGGTGGTAGCTCCAGGAACAGGGAGGAGCTTGACCTTCTGAAAGTCCACTCTTCAGAAAGAGGACTTACTTCATCGTTGCCTAATAATTTGAGTCCACCACAATCGTGTCAAGATGTTGGGAATTGTGGTTGAAGGACTGGGGAGAATCCGAAGGAGCTTTTGGGGAACTTTTCCTAAAGTCTTTCTACTTGGAGATGTCAGAGTTTGGCCGTGGATCCTTGCAAACCAAGTTTCTACCACCAAGCTGAGCCATTATCAGTCGTTGGAATCCCAAGATTTTTATTTCACGATTCTTAGATGGTATGACGGCAAAGTTATGGTCCAGTCTAGGTGAGAGAAAACCCCCTCCCCCTCATTCTCTCAAGTTAAATCTGGTTGGGCTTTCAAGTTTTTAACACAGTTTCCCGATTCCTAAAAGTACAGCAATAACACACACACAAAAGTCTACCGATTCCTCCAAGAGAAATGTTGCAAAATTCACTAAGCTGACCGAGGATGTTGATTTTGGATTATGTCTCAGGGCATTTTAAGGAAGATGGAATCAGGATCCAGAAGTAAAAGGAGATGAAACGCTTTTTAAAAGAAAAGCGTTTAGCAGTTTGCATGAAGCGGTTTTCTTAGTTTGCGTGAAGGTGGCTTGTAGCCACCGGATCAGGTACTGAAGTATGTGACTTCTAAGAATTCTATAATGCCATGAAAAGATGGAAGAAAGAAGGGAGATGAGATAAAACAGAAGCCAAGTGGACAGAGTCAGTTACATCAAGGGTGAATGGATCATTGGAAGAGCAAAAGGACCAGGTTGGGCCAAGATCTTCTTGGAGGAAATCTATCTATGCTGTTGCTAAGAATTGACACTAATTTAGATTACAGATTAACAAGAGTTGGAAGGGACCTTGTAGGTCATCTAGTCCAACCCGCTGTCCAAGCAGATCCTACACCATTTTTGATAGATGACGTATGTATCTTTTCTTTTATGTACTCCGGGAACGTAGGCACCAAGACAAATTCCTTGTGTGTCCAATCACACTTGGCCAATAAAGAATTCTATTCTATTCTATTCTATTCTATTCTATTCTATTCTATTCTATTCTATTCTATTCTATTCTATTCTATTTTATTCTATTCTATTCTATTCTATTCTATTCTATTCCATTCCATTCCATTCCATTCTTCATTCCAATATTCTATTCTATTCTATTCTATTCTATTCTATTCTATTCTATTCTATTCTATTCTATTCTATTCTATTCTATTCTATTCTATTCTATTCCATTCCATTCTATTCCATTCCATTCCATTCCATTCCATTCCATTCCAGATGGCAGTCCAGTATCTTCTTGAAATCTTCCAGTGATGAAGCTCCCACAATTTCTGAAGGCAACTTTTGTTCCATTGGTTGATTGCTCTCATTATCTGTTTCAGTTTCCATCTATTATCCCTTGTCTGGCCTTCAGATGCTTTGGAAAATAGCTTGACCCCCCCCTCCTCTCTGTGACAGCCCCTCAAATATTGGAAGACGGCTATCATGTCTCCCCTGGTCCTTCTCTTCACTAGACTAGCCATGCCCAGTTCCTGCAACCATTCATCGTATGTTTTAGCCTCCAGTCTCCTCATCATCTTGGTTGCTCTTCTCTGCACTCTTTCTAGAGTCTCCATATCTTTTTTAATAGTGTGGTGACCAAAACTGGATGCCGTACTCTAGGTGTGGTCTTACTAAGGCTTTATAGAGTGGTATTAGTACCTCCCTTGATCTTGACTGTATCCCTTTGATCAATCCATCAATATCTTATAAAGCAAGGGTCTCCAAAGTCGGCAACTTTAAGACTTGTGGAACTTCTGCCGGGTGGGGAATTCTGGGAGTTGAAGTCCACAAGTCTTCAAACTTTCCAAATTTGGAGACCCCTTGTTATAAAGGAAAGAGAGAGAGACGTTTCGCAGACTTGCCTGATACTGTTCTTGTGAACTGTGTCCAGAGAAGCATTGTTGGTATCAGAGCTGCCCTTCTTGTCCATGTTCTGGAAACGCTCCCGAGCTGTGAGTCCCCGTTGGGAACTCTGCTTGGGGATGTCCATTTTCCCTCCGAAGCTCAAGATGCCCTGCTGTTCATTGTACGCGAACAACATTGGGTAACAGTCATGTCCCTGGAAAAAAAAGAGAAACCAAGAACATAGCTGAGAAGACAAGGGCGAGGATGACTTGTGGTTGGGTAGAGCCACCCCCAAATCAGTGTCCTTCAGATGGGGCTGGTCCACAATTCCCAAACGTGTCATTCCTGGGGATAAAGAATGTGTAGTGCAGCTGGGAAAGGACTACATTGTGCTCTACATTTCATAGAGAATCTGTGGAAAGAGGCTAGATGAAATATGCTGGTTGCTTTTCAACAAAGACAGAAGAGGACATGTTCTACCAGATGATGTTATCTAGTTTGCGTCATGGGTTCCTGCAAGGAAACAACCCAGCTCAGAGAACATCAAGGACCCCAAAGTAGTCTTCCTCCTCCTCCTCCTGTCTCATTACCTTCCAGCACTGATGATGTTACCTAGTTGGGTCATGAAATGTTTGCAAGAAAACAACCCAGCTCAGAGAACATCAAGGACCCCAAAGTAGTCCTCCACCTCCCCCACCCCTCCTCCAATCCCACTCCCTTCCGGCACTGATGAGTTGGGTCATGAAACATCTGCAAGAAAACATCCAAGTTCAGAGAGCACCAAGGACCCCCTCATTTCAACCCTGAGCTACAAATATTCTCCTTTATTGGACTCATCCATATTTATCATGGTGCCATCTACTGGCTAAACCTTGAAATGACATTATCCACACCGCAAGGACGATGGCTTAGCCATTTTCCCCAAATCAGGAGCCCATGGCTCTACATGTAAATCTTTTGTGGGAAAATCACCCCGAGGAGAGAAAGTTTATGACTTACTGCAGCCACAAGACTGTTCTCAGTGATGAAGGTCACAGCCAGGAGGGGCAGAGTCTCTATAGAAAGGCAGGCGACACTGCGTGGGGAAAACAACGCTTTAGGCCAGGGGTCGGCAACCTTAAACACTCAAAGAGCCACAAAGGTCCTAACCGGAAGCCCCCCACTCAATTCTGGAGCTGACCGGAAGTCCAGTTCCCCCACCATAGAATCTCCTCCTAGTACGGCATCCTTTTTCCTCTACCTGTCCTAACCGAAAGCCCGATCAATTGTGGAGCTGACCAGCGACAGGGAGCTGCAGCAGAGGGATGAAAGAGCCACATGCGGCTCCAGAGCCGCAGGTTGCCGACCCCTGCTTTAGCCTGATCTTTAATATTTGTTTCAATCATGAATGTGAAAACTCCAGTCATGGATTGACTCATATCAAATAAAGCACCACTCATCAACCTTCCAAACTCTACATCGTCCGTGTGACATTTTTTTAGTCCACCTATGTCAGTTTTCCAAGATTGGCCTATCTTGGAGAACTGACATAGGTGGACCCAGGGGTGAAATCCAGCAGGTTCTGACAGGTTCTGCAGAATCGGTAGCATGAAAGTTTGAGTAGTTTGGAGAACTGGCAAATACCACCTTCTGGCTGGCCCCATAGAGGGAATGGGGATTTTGCAGTATCCTTCCCCTGGAGCAGGGTGGGAATGGAGATTTTGCACTGCCATGCCCACCAAGCCACACCCACAGAACCAGTAGTAAAAAAAAAATGGATTTCACCACTGGGTGGATCCCAAGAAAAGTCATAGGCCATAGACCAAAAGCATGCAAGCTAATGCAACTTTTAATATAAAGTTTTAATAAAAAAGATTCTTGCAATGCTTTCTCAAATTATATTTCAACCCCCGCTTTCTTTTCCTTGACTATTGTCCTACTCAAGGAACTTCCCATGACAATCCATCAACCTCCCTCAGATTTCTTCCTTCCCCCTTCCTCAGACCATCCTACTTACGCCATTTTCTTGTTGGCATCTGCCAGGCATATGGTGCTGTCGTGGCCCACCCAGGCCAGACGGTTACCACTGTCCGAAAAGCAGATGCTGTGGACCCAGCTGTAACTACTCTTCGACTCAAACATGAGCTCCCCAAACGACATCTTAGATCCCCAAGGAGTAGGGGCTGGCCGCTCTTCCACCTCTTTAATGTAGGCCGAGAAAATCCTGAAGGGTGGATGGAACGCAGATGATGGAAAGGAGGGGAAAAAATGCAGGTGACTCTCCAACACTCAACCGAGAAGGCGCTATTTCATCTAGATCAGGGGTCTGCCACCTTAAACACTCAAAGAGCCATTTGGACCCGTTTCCCACAGGAAAAGAAAACACCGGGAGCCACAAAAACCCTTCCCGTGCCTGACTATTTCTTGAGCGGCCACAAAACTAGAACATGTAGTTGAATTAAATGTTCTGTTTTCTTCTGAAACTTTTCTTTTCTTGGATTTATCCATGGTTGGCCTAGCGGGGGTTGAAAAGCTCAATAAATCGCGTGCCGGCGGGTGTCGCACATTGGCGGTTGTGACGCATATTTTGAGTGACAGGGAGCCGCAGCAGAGGGGTGAAAGAGCCACATGCGGCTCCAGAGCTGCAGGTTGCCGACCCCTGATCTAGATCCATAATCACATCAATTAATTATGCAACAGCTGGAGGAGAAGACTTCATAACAGGTTTATATTACATCTTCCATAATAATATGGGATAGTTCTGGAGAACATTATTTAGGTGGCCACCAGGAATTATCACCTACTTGATGGCAAATAATCAAACATAGTCATATAAAATATCTTTGTCTAACAGCAGACGCACTACTACCACCCCGTTCCATGATTCCATCCAGCTGGGAATATTGAAATTGTTCGATATCTGCTAAGTCAATGTAGAAGGCCCACCTGCACTTGAAGTCACAGGAACCCGCTGCCAGGAGAACATTGTTTGGGTGCCAGTCCAGACTGAGGATGGTCGATCGAATTGGCTTCTTGATGTGCTTACAGACCCACCTAGGAGAAGTCGGAGAGAGAAGCTGAAATTCCCAGCCTTGATTCATGGAATGAATGACTGCATTTTGAAGATTTAAGGAGCTATTTGGAGATCAACCTTGACTGCTCTTTAGAAGGCCAGATCCTGAAGAGGAAACTCAAATACTTTGGCCACCTAATGAGGAGGAAGGACTCCCTGGAGAAGAGCCTAATGCTGGGAACGATGGAGGGCAAAAGAAGAAGGGGACGGCAGAGAACGAGGTGGCTGGATGGAGTCCCTGAAGCAGTCGGCATGAGCTTAAATGGACTCCGGGGGATGGTAGAGGACAGGAAGGCCTGGAGGAACGTGGTCCATGGGGTCCCAATGGGTTGGACACGACTTCACAACTAACAACAACCACCACCACTTTAGAGCTATCCAACTTCTAATACTGCTTGGAGAATTCTGGGAGTTGGAAGTCTTAGTTGGACACCCGTGTTCTAAAGAAAAACTCAAAATGTCCTAATGGATTTGTCAAGATGTCCGAATGCAAAAGGTCTACTTATTTGTAATTCTCTGTTTCCCCCATAACTTTGTATTAAAAGGATAACCCTCCTCACAGGGTCATCCCACCCAGCCCCACCCACTCCTCTCGCATTTGCTAAGACGCACCAATCGTTCTCCTGCTCAAAGTAGCAGATGGAGATCCTCCGGGATCCACTGCCCACAGCAAACTTGTTCTCTTTCGGGGACCACTTCACACAACAGGCAGCGCGATTGATCCGGAGAATGACCAGGGTGGGCTTCCAAACATCGTTCTTCAGGGTCCAGACGTAAGCGTTGCGGTCTGTCCCGCAGCTCACAATCCGGTTGCTGTCGGGGGCCCAGTCGATTCCTGTCAAGAAGATCAGTTGAAGCCAGATATGGATGGTGGTCTTCAAAGTTTTGTCCTACTGGCTTCAGGGCCCAATGGTTGGGTTGTGATTGTCTAGTTTGTGGCCAATAAAAGTGATGGGACAAAGGGTTCCAAAAAAGGTGTCCTCTTCTGATTTAAATATCCTCTCACCTTTTCTCTAATCCCCTGCATGTGTGCCTACAACTTCCAGAAGGTCTATCTGGGCAAGGTGTCCAGTGCTGGAAGGAACATCCTTCTTTCCCTCACCTCCTTCCAGCTAGCATGAAGCCGAGTTCTCGTCCCGATAAACCCCTTTTATTTAATTTTCAGTGAATTCCTCTCCAGCAAAGTCTTCCCTCTCCCACCGTCTTTCAAGATCGTTCACAATTACCGACCTTTATCAGGCTTGGAGAGTGGCCCAGCTGATATCTTTCGGACTCCACACTGTAACCGACAATACTTGGCAAGAATGCAAGAACATTTTTTCACTCAAGTGAACTAATTGTCTCCTGCAAACTCCCCTCCCCTTCGCTCCTCTTTATTTCCTATGGGAGAGGCCATTCACCGTCCACTTGTAGCTTTACTCCTGAGTGGACCCTTGTTCCTTAGCTGTTCCCTTCTCCTGGCAGCTCTGCACACTGGGAACAGGATCCAGCTGTTCGTCTGCCTCACTGATGTCTGACTCCGAAGGCAGCTGACAACTGTCAGACGGCCCTGGCTCCCTCTCTGCCTCCGACGCAGAGCCCTCCCCAGACTCCAGGACTGGCCCAGGTTCCTCCCCAACCTCCTCACTCTCCGAATCTGCTGCCAGATCTGCTGGCCGCCGGTGGGCCACAACAGGGACTTAGTTGTCCTCACCTGTTACTTGCCCGTTGTGTTCCTTCAGCTCGTGGATTTTGTCCCATTTGGAGCCATTTTTCTTGTAGATGTGGACTTCGTGATTGTTGGGGGAGATGGCGAGTTCTGTGAGAAAGAAGATGGACCAAATTTGCAAAACCAGCAATGGGGAACGCGTCAACATCAAGAGACACGCTGGCCCCGTTTTATCAAGCCACCCAAAGCAAACAAACCAGAAAGAAACAGACAAAAACCAGGGGACCCATTAAAAAAATTGGCTTTGTCCTCACCTTAGGTTTTTTTTGTGTTGTTGCTTTTTTTCAACAGCACAAAAAAGAAAAATTCAAACCCCCCCCCCCCCAAAAAGCATTTGCAGATAAATGGCTCTTTATTATCAGATGGCTGGAAAATCCCTGATTCAGCTATGCAGAAGAGAAAGTGGCCTTGTTCTCCTTCTCGGGGAGTCGATGTGGAATGAATGGGGTGGAAATTCCAAGGGAAAAGGAAGTGGGCTGATGATAGAAGCTTTCTAATAGCTGTGGAACAGAGAATGCCTCTCCTTCCCTGTGCCCCTTGCGAGGGATTCTACGCTTGCAGATCTTACATGGATAGACGGATGGACGGACTAGAGGACTTCTAGAAACCCCCCCCCTATGGATCCAGGTGGATAGGCTAGGGCAGGGGTCTCCAACCTTGGCAACTTTACGACTTGCGGACTTCCACTCCCAGAATTCCTCAGCTCAGCCAGCGCATGCTGGGAGTGGAAGGCCACAAGTTGTAAAGCTGCCAAGGCTGGAGACCTCTGGGCTAGAGAACTTCTATAGAGCCCCCCCCCCATGGATCCCCTGGATGGACTAGATGACTTCTAGAACCCCCAACATCAGGCGCACAGATTTCCCCTGGCCCTTCATTAGGAAGGTTCTGTATTGCCTCCAATCTGTTTCTACAAAGATAGATAGATAGATAGATAGATAGATAGATAGATAGATAGGTAGGTAGGTAGGTAGGTAGGTAGGTAGGTAGGTAGATAGATAGATAGATAGATAGATAGATAGATAGATAGATAGATAGATAGATAGATAGATAGAACAATGGGGCAACAGAATCAGATAGAATAGAATAGAATAGAATAGAATAGAATAGAATAGAATAGAATAGAATAGAATAGAATAGAATAGAATAGAATAGAATAGAATAGAATAGAATAGAATAGAAAATATGAAATGGAATGGAACAGAAGAGAGAATAGTGGAGTGGAGTGGAGTGGAGTGGAGTGGAGTGGAGTGGAGTGGAGTAGAATAGAGTAGAGTAGAATAGAATAGAATAGAATAGAATAGAATAGAATAGAATAGAATAGAATAGAATAGAATAGAATAGAAAATATGAAATGGAATGGAACAGAAGAGAGAAGAGTGGAGTGGAGTGGCGTGGAGTGGAGTGGAGTAGAGTAGAGTAGAGTAGAGTAGAGTAGAGTAGAGTAGAGTAGAGTAGAATAGAATAGAATAGAATAGAATAGAATAGAATAGAATAGAATAGAATAGAATAGAATAGAATAGAATAGAATAGAAAATATGAAATGGAATGGAACAGAAGAGAGAATAGTGGAGTGGAGTGGAGTGGAGTGGAGTGGAGTGGAGTGGAGTGGAGTAGAATAGAGTAGAGTAGAATAGAATAGAATAGAATAGAATAGAATAGAATAGAATAGAATAGAATAGAATAGAATAGAATAGAATAGAATAGAATAGAATAGAAAATATGAAATGGAATGGAACAGAAGAGAGAAGAGTGGAGTGGAGTGGCGTGGAGTGGAGTGGAGTAGAGTAGAGTAGAGTAGAGTAGAGTAGAGTAGAGTAGAGTAGAATAGAATAGAATAAATAGAATAGAATAGAATAGAATAGAATAGAATAGAATAGAATAGAATAGAAAATATGAAATGGAATGGAACAGAAGAGAGAATAGTGGAGTGGAGTGGAGTGGAGTGGAGAGTGGAGTGGAGTGGAGTGGAGTGGAGTGGAGTGGAGTGGAGTGGAGTAGAGTAGAGTAGAGTAGAGTAGAGTAGAGTAGAGTAGAGTAGAGTAGAGTAGAATAGAATAGAATAGAATAGAATAGAATAGAATCTGGAAAGGACCTTGGAGTCTTCTAGTCCAAGCTTATCTTTTATCTTTCTCCTGTAAGGTTAATAATTGTTAATTGGCACAATTGTTGAGTTCAGGAGCTGAATCTCTGAGGATCCTTTGAAAAAGGGAGACTTACGACTTCGATCCTTGTTCCAGGCATGGCAAGTGATGGGTTCCAGCAGGAAGCTTTGATAAGCCATGGTTCTTCACCCTGCTCAGAAAGAAAAAACAGTTTAGCTTTAGAAATTATAGAGAATATTCATAGCTCAGGTTGTAGATTTAGGCAGAAGTTTCTCCTCCGAGCCTTCTGCTTGGCTCCCGGAAGTTTCGTTACCAAACTAGATAATATCTTCAGCAAGATTTGGGGTGAAATGACTTGATACTTCACCCAAAATCCCACTGAAGATGTTACCTAGTTTGGTAGCAAAACGTCCAGGAAACATACAGTAAGCTCGGAGGAGAAACCTCTGCCTAAACGGTTTAGCTTACTCATGAGTGGAGGAGGCGAACTGGGAGAATGTAGGGGAAGGAGTGGCAGCACCTGGAGGCGGAGTCAAATGAGGAATCAGCCTAGAAACTCTACGTAGCCACAACCTAAGTCCAACCTCCCTTGAATTCCAATGACACTGATCTAACTCATACTCCAATATTTGAGGGGCTGCCACAGAGAGGAGGAAGGGGGTCAAGCTATTTTCCAAGGCACCCGAAGGCCAGACAAGGAATAATGGATGGAAACAGAACAAGGAGAGATTCAAGCTGGAAATGAGGAGGAATTTTATGATGGGGAAAACAATCAACCCATGGAACAGAAGTTGCCTTCGGAAGTTGTGGGAGCTTCATCACTGGAGGCTTTCAAGAAGAGACTGGACTGCCATCGGTCAGAAATGGTGTAGAGTCTCCTGCTTGGGTGAGGAGAGGTTGGACTAGATGACCTACAAGGTCCCTTCTAACTCTGTTAATCTGTTATGTCTTGGTTGCCTGGAAGATCTGAATCATTGGTAAATCTAACCCCCCCCCAAAAAGGAGACCCACCACATTGATCAGTCTTTTATTTCTGTTTTGGGGAGCTCTACAGTTGGGTACGTCTACTGTCTATCTATGATTATTAGTTCTGCAAAATGTGTTGATCGAGCTACTTGGCTGCTTTCGTTTAAAAAAAGCAGAATAAAAACCATCAGGCTGAGCCACGAGGAAACTCCACCTTGAGGACTGCTGTCGACATCTGCCTCTGCTCTTCCTCTCCGAGATCTGTCTGCTTTTGGCCTTATATGGTATTACCAAATTGTTCTTGGTTAAGAAATGTTTCCGTTTTCCTGTACCTTTCCCCCCACCCCACAAGCTATTTACTTCCTTGCCTTTCAAGCCATAATTCAAAAGAGACCGTAATTCAAAAGAGCCAGAAAGCAAGCAAATCTTTTGATGGTTGATTAGTGGAAACTCATCAAGGAGAGAAGCAATTTAGAACTAAGGAGAAATTTCCTGACAGTTAGAACAATTAACCAGTGGAACAACTTGCCTCCAGAAGTTGTGAATGCTCCAACACTGGAAGCTTTTTAAGAAGAAGTTGGATAACCATTTGTCCGAAGTGGTGTAGGGTTTCCTGCCTAAGCAGAGGGTTGGACTAGAAGACCTCCAAGGTCCCTTCCAACTCTGTTATTCTAAGAGAGCTCGCATTTGGCAGCAAGGATGATAACAGCGTGACTTTTTTTAAATAACAGGGTGAAGGTTTTATGGGTTTCCCTGCTTTCCGTCTATTTCGTTCTGGTTTCATTCAGCCCTATTTACAAAGCTTGCCTCTGTTTTTCATGCCTGAACACGATAGCATAAAGGTCAATTAGGTATGATTGCACGGGGAGGGGTTGGGACGTAAAAAGGGAGGGCTGGGGATGATGGATTCGTCATCCCTCTGAGGTTATTCACTGCTTCTAACTACATTTCTTACCTGTCTGGAAAAGTAACCCAGAGGCCTCAGATTATCAATTGGCTCAGAGAGATTTGTTCAGATTTAAGGTTCAGTAATGCAGAAAGTCATTTGATCTGAATCTTAGCCGTAGCCAATTACGAACTATAACATGTATGGGTCTCCTGCTGAGGGGGGGGGGTGTTGGGGGGTTTGGACTAGATGACCTACAAGGTCCCTTCCAACTCTGTTAATCTGTATGCAGGATACACGTTGCAGCCCTTTTTCCTTAGTTCAGAATAGTTAAAATCTATTTAGTCATCTTGCAGGATCTTGCAGGGAGGAGGGAAATCTAAAAATAACAGTCTACTTCCTTGGATGAAAAAAAAAAAAGTGCGGAATAGGTTTTATACATGGTTGGAAAACAGAAATCAAATTAAGAAGTAAGAATATAAAGTGACATTTGAGATTAACATACTGGATATAAACGTAAATAATGATCCTGCTAACAAATCAGTTCATTATGAATATTTAAAAATAAAGAGAAGGAGCGGGAGGATAAAAGTTAAGAGGAAAGACAAAAGCCGATGCAGAAAATGGTAAAATTGTATATATCTGTTGTTAGTATTGTATTTTAACATCTGATGTGTGTATGGTTCTCTCTCTCTCTCTCTCTCTCTCTCTCTCTCTCTCTCTCTCTCTCTCTCTCTCTCTCTCTCTCTCTTTTTTTTTTGTCTCTTCTTTTGCTATGGTGTGTTTGGTTTTAAAATGTAAAATACTCAATAATTTTTTTTTTTTTAAATATATGAATTATAAAACTTCTGTCCACCAACTATCTATGATGTCTTGGTTGCCTGGAAGATCTGAATCATTGGTAAATCTAAAAAGAAAAAAGAAAAAAAGAGACCAACTCCTTTTCCAAATCCAAAAACCAGACCCAGTGGTGGGGATTCAAATAATTTAACAATCGGTTCTCTGCCCTAATGATTTCTTCCAACAATCAGTTCACCAAACTGCTCAGAAAGTTAACAACCGGTTCTCCCGAAATGGTGCGAACCGGCTGAACCCCAACCCTGACCAGACCCCTTTCTAAACACAAAATAGACCAAAAAAACTCACTCGGCCAGTTGAAGAAATGCCCCAAAAGCTCTCTCTTGCTGGAGATCTAAGCACACTTCAGAGGAAGAAATGCTGCTTAATCTGCAGACAATTGTTCAGACTATTTTGGGGTGGGGTGGGGGAGACTTTTGAGGAGTTGTGTGTCCTCATGGAAAACTCCAAGGGAAGTCAACTGCTGGCTGGAGAGAAACTTCAGTGGGTGGGAAAGAGAGAGAGAGAGAGAAAAAAAAAAACATTCCTGAAAGTAGTGCCAGAAGAAATGGAAAGGAAATAACGTCTATGTGGAAAGGAGGAGGAGGAGGAGGTGGTGGATAGGACAGGAGAGGGGGTGGTGAGGAGGGAAGAATGAGTCAAACCAGTTTTTTCACTCCTGAATTTGAACCCCTGCCATCCCTTCAAGAGAGAAATGCCTTCGCGAGAAAAGTTAGCCAAGAGAGAAGACAACCGAAAGAGAGTCTCTTTTGAGGATTTGTTTGTTTTTTTGGGGGAAGGAGCATCTCAGGGACTGACCTTGGATGGAAAAGATGAAGATCTTGAGATCTTTCCGTTGAGAAGGAGAAGGAGAAGCAGGCTTGTTCACGGACTCTGGGCAGTCGACGTGAACAGCCCTCCGCCCCGAGCCAGCTCAGGAGGAAATGAAGAAAGAAATTTAGAGGCAAGGCTTTGAAAAGTCAGACTTCCCTCTCGAGAAACTTAACCACTTCCTTGCTTGGGGGTTGGGGAATTCTCTCCCTCTCTCTGTGTGATGCCTTATGTGTAGTGAAGAAGGAGTAAGCTTACCGCCTTAAAACGATGCAGGAAGGTTGTTGGTTTCGCAAGGGTAGGTGGGTCTGGCTGCAAAAATCATCTAAACAATGAAATGTTTTGGATGAGGTTTTTGAGAAGGGAATGGACAGCTGTTTGTCTAAAATGGTATATGGTTTTCTGCCTGAGCAGAGGGTTGGACTGGAAGACCTTCTAGGTCCCTTACAACCAGTAGTGGGATTCAAGTAATTTAACAACTGGATTCTCTGCCCTAATGATTTCTTCCAACAACCAGTTTTCCACACGGCTCAGAAAAGTTAACAACCGGTTCTCCCGAAGTGGGGCGAACCGGCTGAATCCCATCACTGCTCTCTCCCTCCCTCTCTCCCTCCCTCCCTGACTTTTAACTAGATTCCTTCCTTCCTTCCTTCCTTCCTTCCTTCCTTCCTTCCTTCCTTCCTTCCTTCCTTCCTTCTTCCTTCCTCCCTCCCTCCCTCCCTCCCCTCCCTCCCTCCAGTGATGGGATTCAAGTAATTTAACAACTGGATTCTCTGCCCTAATGATTTCTTCCAACAACCAGTTTTCCAAACTGCTCAGAAAAGTTAACAACCGGTTCTCCCGAAGTGGGGCGAACCGGCCGAATCCCACCACTGCCTCCCTCCCTCCCTCTCTCCCTCCCTCCCTGACTTTTAACTAGATTCCTTCCTTCCTTCCTTCCTTCCTTCCTTCCTTCCTTCCTTCCTTCCTTCCTTCCTTCCTTCTTCCTTCCTCCCTCCCCTCCCTCCCTCCAGTGATGGGATTCAAGTAATTTAACAACCGGTTCTCTGCCCTAATGATTTCTTCCAACAACCAGTTTTCCAAACTGCTCAGAAAAGTTAACAACCGGTTCTCCCGAAATGGTGCGAACCGGCTGAATCCCATCACTGCCTCCCTCCCTCCCTGACTTTTAACTAGATTCCTTCCTTCCTTCCTTCCTTCCGTCCTTCCATCCTTCCTCCCTCCCCTCCCTCCCTCCAGTGATGGGATTCAAGTAATTTAACAACCGGTTCGCTGCCCTAATGATTTCTTCCAACAACCAGTTTTCCAAACTGCTCAGAAAGTGAACAACCGGTTCTCCCGAAATGGTGTGAACCGGCTGAATCCCATCACTGCCTCCCTCCCTCCCTCCCTGACTTTTAACTAGATTCCTTCCTTCCTTCCTTCCTTCCTTCCTTCCTTCCTTCCTTCCTTCCTTCCTTCCTTCCTTCTCCTTCCATCCTTCCTCCCTCCCCCTCCCCTCCCTCCCTCCAGTGATGGGATTCAAGTAATTTAACAACCGGTTCGCTGCCCTAATGATTTCTTCCAACAACCAGTTTTCCAAACTGCTCAGAAAAGTTAACAACCGGTTCTCCCGAAATGGTGCGAACCGGCTGAATCCCATCACTGCCTCCCTCCCTCCCTCCCTGACTTTTAACTAGATTCCTACCTACCTTCCTTCCTTCCTTCCTTCCTCCCTCCCTCCAGTGATGGGATTGGCAAAGTTGGGCAAACGGGCCATTTCCAGCCTGGGGGGGGGGGGGATGGGGAAGGCTGTTTTCACCCTCCCCAGGCTTCTAGAAAGGCTCTGGAGCCTGGGGAGAGCGAAAAATGGGCCTATTGGGCCCACCGTGCCATCGCATGCCAAAAGCAGGGATAGCATAAGGAGAGGCGGGGCACATACAATTATGGATGTGGGCACACGTGTGTGTGTCCCCTCCCCTGCTTTTGGCACGCGATGTCAAAAAGGTTAGCCATCACTGCCCTCTACCATTTCAGACAAATTTGTCCAATCTCTTCTTGAAAACCTCCAGTGATGAAGCACTGGTAAGTCATCAAATGGGGGCAAGGCTCACTCAACAAATGTCTCACTTAACGGCAGAAAGTTTGGGGCTCAATTGCGGTCGTAAGCAGGGGTGGGTTCTACTTACCTTTACTACCGGTTCGCAGTGGGGCCACGCCCGCGCTTCGCTCTTCTGCACATGTGCAGAAGCGTTTTGGTGACGGTGGGATCGGTGGGCGGAGCCTACTGCCGGTTTTACTACCGGTTCTATAGAACCGGTGCGAACCGGGGGCAACCCACCACTGGTCGTAAGTCGAGGACCAGCTGTACTTTTGAGTTTTTCTATGCTGTGGGTGGGGTCAGCTTTGAAGGTATCCAGCCACCGTGTTATAATACTATTATATTACTATTATTATTGTCATTGTACGTGTATACACAGTATACCCATACAACGAAATCCACTTAACATCCAAAGACCAGGCCCAACACACATGACAATCCCCAAACACCCCCCCCCCACACACACAAATTCCCCACCCCTAATCCACCCAAACATCCACACAACAGACCAAGTCATGCTGTCCAACAGCTCACGGATGGTGGCCCTTGAGTTCATGGTTGAGTGCAATTATAGCTCTGGGATAAAAACTATTCAGAAGACGTGCGGTCCGAGTTTTAATTGTTCTGTATCTTCTGCCAGAAGGCAACAGTCCAAAAAGATTGTGAGCAGGATGGGAAGAGTCTCTGAGAATGTTATGCAACTTTCTCAAACGGCGAGATTCGAAGATGTCGTCCAGGGCTGGTAGCTGGAGTCCGATGATATTCTGGGCAGTTTTAATGATTCTCTGTAGAGCTTTTCTGTCCGCTACAGAGCTGCTCCCATACCATGCAAGAATGCCGTATGTCAGGACACTCTCAGTGGTGCTGCGGTAGTAGGACAGAAGTAGATGCTGAGATAGATTTATCTTCTTGAGCATTCTCAGGAAGTACAGCCTCTTCTGTGCCTTCTTCACAAGCATGTTAACATTCATAGTCCATGAGAAGTCCTCTGAGATATAAATGCCCAGAAATTTAAAACTATCAACCCTCTCCTAGTAACTCTTCCAAATTTAAATGTTTTCTCCCATGAATTTCCTCCGTCTGACATGGCCAAAATAACCGAGACGTAGCAAGATGCTTTTTTTTTTAAATGTTTATTTTTATTTTCTAGCAGACAAGCTGAACATCGAACTCCCCCTTTTTAAGTTAGTGTTTCATACTTCCTTGCAATCAACCATTTTAAGGAGCAGCTTTGGTAAAGAAAGGGAATGAAAACCAACCAAGGAAAATTAAAAAACAACAACAACAACAACGATGAACCCACAAACCCAAATATATACCACGATCACAGCTGATTGGCAGATCAATATATATATCACCAAAGGGGAGGGAGGGGGAGGGGGAGGGATAGGGAAATGGGGGGGAGGGGGGAATATTTCACCGTCGTCGTTTTTTTCAGTGCCTTTTTTTTTTAAAAAAAAAGAAAGTGATCCATCTTCACCCTGTCTTTTCAAGTCTGTGCAGGCTTCAGAGCAGGCTGCCTTGCCAGAGAACCGTTCTACATTATCCGTAGACCCTGAATGGAGGACTCCAATGTCTAGACGACGATGGAGGGGGGGAAAAAAGAAATAAGGAAGCTGGTTATTCACCGTGACAAAAGAAGCCATCTACAACTCTACGGAAATCTACAGTAGTAGCCAAAATTGTGGAAACCTTTTGGGAAAAGTGTATTTTTGAGGTTTGATGGCTAATAACACCACTTTTTTTTTTATGAGTTTCAAGATAATCCTATTCCACTGCTGGGATGGTTTGCCTGAACCGGTAGTAAAAAAATGCTTTAAAAAGTAAAAAAAAAAAAAAAAACACCACTTCCCACAATCTTGCGTCGCTCAGCTGATCGTCGGAACTTTTTTTTTTTTTTTTTTAACTTTTTAGGCATTTTTTTACTACTGGTTCGGGCGAATAGGTAGTAACAAATGCTTTAAAAAAGTAAAAAAAAGAAAAAAAGAAACTCCAACGATCACAGCTGTGCCACGCGATCGTCGGAACCTTTTTTAAAAAAACTTTATAAAAGCATTTTTTACTACCTAATTCGCCCGAGCCGGTAGTAAAAAAAAAAATGCTTTAAAAAAGTTTATAAAAAGGTTCCCACGATCACCCGTCACAGCTGGTCACCCCCCACCCCGGTGCTGTTCTACTTACCTCCCCAAGCCTCCTTTTGGTGCGTGTGTGCAGCTCATGTTTAATGTGCACTGCGCATGTGCGCGCACATGTTTGGTGCGCGGCGCACATGCGTGGCCAGTAAACCGGTAGTAAACTGGTTCAGATTTCACCACTGCCCCACACCCATCTCTGACAAATGGCAGTCCAATCTCCCCTTGAAAGCTTCCAGGGATGAAGCTCCCACAACCTCTGAAAGCAACTTCTGTTTCATCGGTTGATTGTTTTCACCGTCATAAAATGTCTCTTTATTTCCAAGTTGAATCTCTCCTTGTTCAGTTTCCATCCATTATTCCTTGTCTGACCTTCGGGTGCTTTGGAAAATAGATTGACCCCCTCCTCTCTGTGGCAGCCCCTCAAGTATTGGAAGAC